TAGGTTATTAGCGACAGTGAAACCCTATTAACCGAACCTATTTCATGTGACATAGTAACTTATCGAAGTGACAGTGGATTAAATAAGGTGCTATGCGGTGTTAAATAGGATATCGATCTTCAGACTATATAGTTAATTCATTGAGCTACGACAGTAGGATTTGAATTGATTATTTAGTACGTAGTAATTCCCGACAGGGATAGCTAGCACATTCGTGATATCCTGGCTGTAGAGGTATGGATTAAATTGATTGGAAAATGTGAATTAATCTGGATAGGATAGGTAGTGAATCTCGGTGTTTCTCCCAGAGCTTTCTCCCATTGAATTTCTCCCGACAAGTTTACTTTGCTTAATTAGTTTAATTATTTTGCTTTCAGTTAATAATCTCATCAACCAAACCATTTTTCACCTATAGTTTGCTCCATAGAATCGGTAAATCATAAGGTTGTACCAGTCCCTGAGAGACGATACCCGGACTTTCCGGTTTACTACAAAATAGGAATTGAAGCTATACGCTTTTGATAGTCACGATTTATTAGAGATGATTTTAGAAAAATATAATAACCACACTGGATTACTATTCCTAAAATTTGAATTTCCATATATTATCCTCAAACCCTAAATAATTATCTCACCTCTAACAATCTAGCCGTCTACTTCCTCTCTCTATCCCTTCAGCACAGCAGGACTCCAAAATAGCAGGCACCACTGTCCGCCTGCCTCCCTCACTGTCCACCCTTCCCTCCCCCTCCGACCGCCCACCCACGTCCGCCATCCCTCCCTCCCTCCCTCCATTCATCCACCCACCTCATCCCATCTCTCTCTCTCTCTCTCTCTCTACCTACCCCCAACCACCTCGTCGCCGCTCACTCCCTCATCTACTTCACTCACCACCCCACCACCCCTCTTATCTCTCTTTCCACTTTCCGGCGAGAACCTATAGCCAATATTTACTACTTGCACGGCTGCGAGGACGAGTCGGAAATTCTTGGTTATTTTTTGGGTTAATATTTTTGTATGGCCTGAACTTTGACCAAAATAAACATCATGGCCAATCTTTTCGATCTATAACATCCTGGCCCGAACTATACACCAAAATAAACAATTTGGCCAAATCCGACTTTTGACCGTTAACTTGGACGGTCAAACGCGTTGACCGTTAGTCAACACGCCATGTCATTGCCAAGTCAGCATAAAATATTTAAAATAATTCACAATTTCCACACATTTCCTAATTTTAAATTATTATAAATTAAAAAAATCATTTAATATCTTAGTTAAACCAAAAATAAAAAACGAAAAAATTAAATATTTATCAGATCTTCTGACTTGGCAGTGACGTGGCGGGTTGACCGTTAGTCAACGCGTTTGACCGTCCAAATTAACGGTCAAACATCGGGTTTTGCCAAATTGTTTATTTTGGTGTATAGTTCGGGCCAGGATGTTATAGATAGAAAAGACTGGCCAGGATGTTTATTTTGGTCAAAGTTCAGGCCATACGAAAATATTAACCCTTATTTTTTATACCTATTATTTTTGTATTGGTATTTTTCAAAATGGTAGTGTTTGTCTAATAGATTGGTATTAATTATTATGTAATGGTATTAATTTGCATTTATTGGTTTTGATTAAATCTGCATAGGTGTTTTGTGAAATGAAAGAGTTTTTATTTCTCGAATGGTATTGGTGTTTTGTGCAATGGTAGTGTTTTTGAAGTGATAGAGGTTGTCTAATGGATTGATATTTATTTATTTTTGTTGTTGTTATAATAGTATTGGTGTTTTTGAAGTGGTAGTGATTGACTAATAGATTCATAGTGATTTTTTTTTTGGCAGAAAGATTGAGAAAAATAAGAAAAGGAGATCTGGCTGGAGATTACGGAAGTAAGAGAAAGAGAGATAATTATAAGTAATAGAATTTTGTAACTGCTCAAAATATAATTTATTAAAAAATTAATTAATACTATTTATTTTCCATACCCAATTTACCCTTAGTAACCATAGTAATCACCATAACCCCTCCCCAGTAGACCAAAGCGGTGAATGCATCACGCGGTTGACGTCCGCGGTGAATCCCTAACGTAACAATGAAACTTCAAACAAATGTAACTTTGCGCTCAGTTATCCGATTGCAGCGAATTTTTTTTATTCCATATAAATTTTCAAGATCTTTCAATCTGCAACAAGATTTAATCTAAAAAATGTCGTTTGTTACCCCGAACGAGCAATTTTTTGATTTTGCTAATCTTTGGAAGGCCATAACTTTTAGCTCCTCAATCTGAACGTCGTAAAGTTTTTTTTTATTGCGCATAACTTTTTAAGAACTACAACTTCTAATAGGAAATAATTTTTTTAAAAGAATTATTTTTTGGTATACGGGATTTTGGCAATAACTTTGCCTTTACTTTTCACAAATCCACATACTTTCCAAAATTATGGTTATAATCAAAGTTGTAGTCCTTCAAAAGTTATGTGAAATAAAAAAAAGTTTCATGACATTCGGATTGTGTAGCACAAAGTTATGGTCTTCCAAAGTTTGTCAAAATCGAAAAATTGCTCGTTCGGGGTAGCAAACGAATTTTTTTTGTGAATGAAGGTTTGTTGCAGATTGAAAGATCTCGAAAAGTTATGTTGAATAATTTTTTTCCCCGCTACAATCGGATAACCGAGCGCAAAGTTACGTTTGTTTGAAATTTCGGTGTTACGTCAGGCATTCACCGCGACCGTCAACCGCGGTGATGCATTCACCGCGGCCGTCAACCGCGGTGATGCATTCACCGCTTTGGTCTGCCGCGGTGAATGCATTCACTGCGATTGACAACAGCAGTGATGCCCAAATATGTGTATTTTGGGATTTTTTTTATAACGTGTGTATAATGTGTATTTTAGGATCCCCCCAACCCCCCCCCCCCCCCCCCCCCACACACACACACACAAAAATTTATCACCTATAAGCCCAGCTAAACCGTTTTATAAACCGAGCTACCGCGAAGTCCCCCCCCCCCCCCAATGATTAATGACAAGGGAAAGGATATTTAGAAACTAGGATGCCAATGGCTCGGGTCGGGGACGGATAGTGCATATCGATTCCTCTACCCAAAGTAGTTCAGATTTTACCCATATCCATACCCACATGTGAAATGGGTAGAAAATCAAAACCATGTGCATACGGCCATACTGTTCGGTTTTCGGGTATCCACGGTTATCTATGAGTAATAATTTCTCTTCGTAACTCCAACCAATATGTTAATATTCACACGTATTCTCACATTACATAAGAGGAAAAGTACGACAATTATTCACTAGAAAGAAAAAATTAATTAAAACAACATAATCTCATGAAAATATTATATTTATATACTAAATATAAAGTATGTTAGAGAAAAATAATGATTATTTATAGACAAAATACATATGTATGTGTTAATCGGGCGGGTTCGGGCTGGATAGTGAGAAACTCATGCCCACCCATTACTCACAATATTCGGGTTCGTGTTTTACCCGTACCCACTAAATGTCTTTCGGGTTTGGATTTTACCCTACCCGATAAGACCAGATTCGGGCGGATATCCAATGGTTACAGATATTTTTGTCATCCCTATTAGAAACGGAATTAAATTTTGTTATCGACATAACTCAAACATGATTCATTAGTATACCATAAGAGTTTCAAAAGAATTTTTTTCTGAATTGAGTGTCAAGTTACTCGTAAGCAATTTGATTCATTTGCAACATAAAAAATAAAAGGAATAAAAGGGAAAGCTTTTCTTATTTTAATATAGGTAACTCTATTATACTTACGCATGACCATAGTCCATGATCGAGTTTCCCTTTTCATATTGAAAGTCACAAACCGAAACCAAACTGTAAGATGAAAGTCCTGATGCGAACTGCACAAAAGGAGGCGAATCCCTTTAAAACTTCTATAATAAAACGGGTTAATTGCATGGTTGGTCATTGAGATTACAGGAAATATTTATGTTTGGTCACTAAAAATATTTAATTCCATTCGTGGTCACTCATAATAATTTAATGGTTCAAATTTGGTCACTATCCATTAGCTTCCGTTAGTCTTCATTAACACCGTCATTTATTTGCTGACGTGGCTAATAGATTCACCTAGTCACCTATTTTTAACCCAAAAAAATATAATTCGACCCTGTCACGTCATTAAAAAACCTACCACATCATAAAACCTAACCATTGTGACCCATTAACCCATGACTGAACCCAACCCAAATTAAAACTCAAGAATGACTACTCCGCAAAATCCCTCAAAGGAGAAAATGACCGGAAGAAGCTCTTGTCGCCGCCCTCATCGTCGATCCCACTCCCCTCTAAAATCTCACTAAGCAACGACAGAGCGCCATCTTCAATTCCCTCCTCGCTGCCGCCTTTGCTCTTCCCGAACCTATCCTCGGCGGCGTCTTCCCTGCCAACACCCTCACCATACTCGACGAACTTTGGATCCAAGCATAAACCACATTGTTAATTGGTTCCAATTGCTACCCTTTTGTGAAAACTTAATAACAAGAACAACCTCTGTTAACCAAAAAAACACCATAGTTTTGTTTATCTTGACCTGAGTTAATAATTGCAAGCAGCAAGATGAACTATGGGGAAAACGTGACCACCCACTCTGCTCACTATCAAGTGAATTGGAAGAAGAAGAAAGCTCTGCAGAAGTGAAGAAGAAGAAGAAGGCTCTACAGATTTGAATGAAGAAGAAACCTCACCCAGAAACGTTTCGTTTCTGGGTTCCCTCCACTCAGCGTTTAAATGAAGAAGCAAAGCGACGACGTAGTGGGAACAAAGCGACGACGTAATGGAACTTCAGCGTTTTACCGTTGGGTGGACTTACCGCAGCAAACCAGAGACGAACACGTGTTGTTTTACTATTTCTCATTTTCGAATTTCTGTTTTGTATTTCCGTTTTTACTGTTTCGTGAAGAACACAACTCAGCTTGAGTATAAATACAAAAGGCAGGAGATCCTCTGCTCTCTGCGCGTTCCCCATTTTCTGTGCCGCATTCTCCTCCCTCTTAACCCTAGCTCAGCTAGTTTGATATGGTATCAGAGCGGTTACTGATCCAGTAACCTTTCATGGCGACTCCACCCAATACTCCTGGAGGAGGCATTCCTTTTGGTTCTTTTTCTGGAATGAGCTCAGGCGTAGCAGGAGTCTCTAACAACAACAACGAACGCCCAGATCCCCAATTTGGTAATCCCTTCTATATCAACCCTAATGAGAATATTTCTCAAGCTATAGTCTCAGAAGTACTCGATGGTCCTAATTATCAAATGTGGCAGCGAGCCATGAGGATGGCACTCAAAACCAAACACAAGATCGGGTTTATAGATGGTTCAATTGTGTCTCCAGGAGTTGGAAACCCTAATTATAGTACTTGGGATGCCTGTAATACTCTTGTACTGTGCTGGATTCTGAATTCTGTGGACAAGGAGATAAGAAGAAGTGTTATGCAACATGATGTTGCTCAAACCTTATGGGAAGAGCTCAAAGCTCGTTTTGGGTATGCTAATGCAATTAAACTTTCTAATCTGGGTGATCAAATTATTGCTTGCAAACAAGGAACTATGAATGTCACTCAATACTATACTGCTTTAAAGGGTTTATGGGAAGAACATTTGCAGTTCAATCCTATTGTGGACTGTAATTGTGCTCCTCAGAGGACTCAACCTTGTGCTGCAGTTGAAGCCTTCAAGCAGAAGCAGGAAACATATTACCTCATCAGGTTCTTGAAAGGTCTTCGCCCTGAGTTTGATGTTGTTCATACTCAGATCTTGATGATGAAGCCTTTACCCACAGTAGAGGTAGCAATCAATGATGTGCTACAGCATGAGCAGAAGCTGAAGGCAGATAAAAGTGTTACCAGGGGAGTGCAATCAGTTGCTCTAGCTGAACTAGGTGACAATCCAGATGAGAAGAAGTTCTGTCGTTACTGCAAAAAGGAGGGTCATGTTAAGGAAGAATGCTGGAAGCTGAAAAACAAAAAGCTTAGGATGGCTGGGGGAGTAGCTGCTGCTGTTAATCAAGGAGAGCACTCTAATGAAAGTGACTCAACTGGTTCAGACCCTAAACACAGCTCAGACTCTAGGAGTGTTTCATCCAAGGAACAAGTTCAATTTTCTTCTGAAGAACTCAACAAGTTGAAGTATCTGTTGCAGTCAATTCCATCTCCTAGTCCCTCTCCACCAGCATCACCTTCTGTCAATCATTTGGCTTTTTCTGTTGCTCACAGCATGTCTCAGTTCCCAAGTCATGCTCTCATCATTTATGCATCACAAGGCAGAACATCTTGCTCATACTTGGATTTTGGATACTGGGGCATCTGATCACATTGCCTGTAATATTGCTTTATTTGCTGAAGCCTTAGCAGTTAAGGATCAATTTGTCTATAAACCTAATGGGACTAAGGTTGTAGTTAGTCACATAGGAAAGGTTAAGTTATCCCCAGACCTTACCTTAGACAATGTCCTTCTTGTGCCAAGCTTCACTTTCAATCTCATTTCAGTTAGTAAACTGACAAATGATCAACCTATTTCCTTACATTTTGAGTCTGATGCTTGTCAAATTCAGGACCTGGTGACCCAGAAAAGGACTGGTTTGGCAAGACAGAGTAGGGGACTATACCAATTGCACACAAAGGCCCACCAACCTCTCATTTCTTTCCCTCAAGCAGCCTTTACCTACAACTTTCAACCACAAAATTTCCACCTCTGGCACTGGAGACTAGGGCACCCAGGCAAAGACAAAGAGAAACAAACATTACCTTGTAATAGAGATGTAGTTTCCCATTGTCAAATTTGTCATTATGCCAAACACAAAAGGCTTTCTTTCCATGTAAGCACCAGTAGAGCAGAGGATGTTTTTGGTTTGATTCATGTTGACATATGGGGGCCATTGGCTGTCAAGTCACATGAAGGTTTTTCCTATTTCCTAACTATTGTGGATGACTTTTCAAGGGCTGTTTGGGTTTTCTTGATGAAACTAAAGTCTGAATCTGGTCCTTTGTTGCAATCCTTTTGCACTATGGTTGAAAGACAGTTTTCTAAGTCTGTTAAAGTTATCAGGAGTGACCAGGGTTCTGAATTCCACATGTCTGAATTCTATAGTGATAAGGGAATTGAACATCAACAGTCTTGTGTGGAGACTCCAGAACAGAATGCCAGAGTTGAAAGGAAGCATCAGCATGTTCTGAATGTGGCCAGAGCTCTTAGGTTTCAATCTGGCATTCCCCTTAGGTTCTGGAGTGACTGTGTGTTGCATGCTGTATACTTAATTAACAGACTCCCTTCAACTGTCCTTGAGAACAAATCCCCTTATGAGCTTTTGTATGGTCAAGCTCCAAATCTGAATGGCTTAAAGGTTTTTGGATCCTTGTGTTATGCTGCTACTCTGCACAGGGATAGAACTAAATTTGATTCCAGGGCCATGCAGTGTATATTCCTTGGTTTTCCTACTGGGATTAAAGGGTTTAAGCTCTTTGATCTCAATTCACACTCTTTCTTTGTGTCCAGAGATGTGATTTTCTATGAATCCATCCTACCTTTCCATTCTAACCCTTCCTCCACATCTACTTCAGATTTCTCATTTCTCATGAACAAAGACCCTATTCTACCACAATCTCCTTCTACTTCCCAAACTCCACCTGTTTCACCAGCTTTTCCTCATCCTACACCTCCATCTCCACTTCAGCCTGCAAACTCTCCTTCTCCTTCTACTTTTACTTCTTCCCACATTCCTTCTACCTCTTCCACACTGCCTGTTGCTTCTGAGGAGGTTCCTCCTCCTGTCAGTTTGCATTCTGAGGGGGAGGACAGTGAGATTGATGTGTTTCCTGAGGGGAAGGACACAGATGCAGCTGAATTTTTAAGAAAGTCTACTCGAACTCGTGTTGTACCAGTTTGGCATAAAGATTATCATGTCAGCATGGCTGCATCATCTTCCAAATATCACATTTGTCACCAGGTTAGCTATGATCATTTGTCTGCTTCCCAAAGAGCTTTTGCTCTTAATGTTTTGTCTATACAAGAGCCCTCATCTTATGCTGAGGCTTGTAAAGATCCCAGATGGAATCAAGCCTGTAAAGAGGAAATTTATGCCTTGTATGAAAATCAGACATGGGAATTGGTCAAGCTACCACCAGGCAAGAAGCCTATAGGTGCAAAGTGGGTGTTTAAGGTGAAATATAGGTCTGATGGTACAATAGAGAGGTTCAAAGCAAGGCTGGTTGCTAAGGGTTATACTCAGATCTATGGGATTGACTTTCTTGACACTTATTCCCTAGTGGCTAAGATCAATTCAGTTAAAACTTTGTTAGCAGTTGCTGCTTCCAAGGATTGGCACATCCATCAAATGGATGTGTCCAATGCCTTTCTTCATGGAGACTTGGAGGAGGAAGTATATTTGGAAATTCCACCTGGTGTAGATGTTCCCAAGGATTTATGTCTTGTTTTCAAGCTTAAGAAGTCCCTATATGGCATGAAAGAGGCAAGCAAACAGTGGTTTGCAAAACTTACCAGTGCATTGTTGAAGAATGGTTACTCACAAACAGCCTCTGATTACTCAATGTTTGTGAGATGGATTCAGGGAAGAGTGGTGGTAGTTCTTGTTTATGTTGATGACATCCTGATTGCTGGGAGTCATTTTGGGGACATAGAACAATTGAAGAAGTTTTTGAGTAAAGAATTCAAGGTTAAAGACCTTGGTCAATTGAGTTATTTTCTAGGACTGGAAGTGATCAGAGATCATAAAGGGATCTCAGTCAGTCAAAGGAAATATTGTTTGGAATATTGATGATACTGTTTTTGTAGAAGCAAAGGGTTGTTTGTCACCTGTTGATTGCAATGTTAAGCTCTCTGCAGATCAAGGAGAGTTAATGGCAGATCCTGGTGTCTACAGAAGACTTATAGGAAGACTGCATTACCTAACAATTACTAGGCCTGATGTGGCCTATGTTGTTCAACAGTTAGCTCAATTTCAAGCTGCCCCTTGTGTTGAGCATTTGCAAGCAGCACACAGAGTGATTAGGTACTTGAAACAGACTATTGGTCAGGGTTTGATCTTCAGGGCAGATTCAAAGCTGGAACTATCTGGCTATTGTGATGCAGACTGGGCAAGTAGTCCAGATTCAAGGAGATCCCTCACTGGCTACTGCACATTTCTGGGAACTTCATTGATCACCTGGAAGACTAAGAAACAAAGTACAGAGCCTTAGCTCAGGTTGTTTGTGAAGTGCAGTGGTTAAGGAATCTCTTGATTGAAATGGGAGTTAAGGTACCCTTACCAATTCCTCTGTTTTGTGATAACAAATCTGCTATGCATATTGCTGAAAATCCTGTGTTTCATGAGAGGACGAAACACATTGAAATAGACTGCCATGTGACAAGGGAAAGGCTAAAGTCTGGTTTGGTTAAACTGTTCCATGTGAGAACTGATGACCAAGTTGCAGATTTGTTTACTAAAGGTATGACTCGTTATAGACTGAAATTCTTGTTAGACAAGCTGGGAGTGTGCAATGCTTACTCGCCAGCTTGTGGGGAGTATCAAGTCAATTGGAAGAAGAAGAAAGCTCTGCAGAAGTGAAGAAGAAGAAGAAGGCTCTGCAGATTTGAATGAAGAAGAAACCTCACCCAAAAACGTTTTGTTTCTGGGTTCCCTCCACTCAGCGTTTAAATGAAGAAGCAAAGCCACGACGTAGTGGGAACAAAGCGACGACGTAATGGAGCTTCAGCGTTTTACCGTTGGGTGGACTTACCGCAGCAAACCAGAGACGAACACGTGCTGTTTTACTATTTCTCATTTTCGAATTTCTATTTTGTATTTCCGTTTTTACTGTTTCGTGAAGAACACAACTCAGCTTGAGTATAAATACAAAAGGCAGGAGATCCTCTGCTCTCTGCGCGTTCCCCATTTTCTGTGCCGCATTCTCCTCCCTCTTAACCCTAGCTCAGCTAGTTTGATACTCACTGGCCAACATAATTTCTCTCCTTCACCATACACGATTCCCTTTTACTCCCTCTCTCCGGATCCATGCATAAACTCCTCCGATGAACACTAGCTCTGAGTCCTTGTAGCTAGGGACGCCTGTTAATACCCACGGAATTGGGGATGATGGTGGTCGAATCCTGCTGGGATTGAGTCTCCAGTTGCGGGGAAGATGGATTCGTCAGAACTCCGGCCGCTCCCACCGCTGAATCGTCATATACAAAACCTAGATGCTTATGGTTCCCCTAAAGATGATGAGAAAGAGGAAGAACGCCCAATCGTCCTGGTTGCTTTCCTTTGCTTGAACTTTCGGCGCAGGCGTAGAAGAGGAAGAAGCCAAAGGAAAGGGGGAGCGGCAACCCTTGGATTTAGGGTTGTTTTTCTCGGAAGCTAGAGGAAGAAGGCAATGACGGCGCCGATTTAGGGGTTTCCTTGGGTTGGGTAGGGGCGATCAATAAATCATGGGTTGGGTGTTTTGTTACGTGGCCAATTGTTATGATGTGGCCGGTCGGATTTTAATTTTTTCAGGTTAAAATTAGGTGATTAGACATTTCTGTTAGCCACGTCAGCATAAACTAACGCCGTTAATAAAAGTTAACGGAGAGTGACCAAACTTGAAATGTTAAACTAATTTTAGAGACTACGAATGAAATTAAATATTTATAGTGACCAAACATAAACGTTTTTAGTAATCCGAGTGTCCAACCTTGTAATTGACCCGTAATAAAACCTACGATTGAACTACACAAAAATTATGGATCGAACCCTATTGAAGTTTAAAGCACAGCAGCAAACCCCTTATGCCAGATTGTCACCTTGCAATTCTGTTGGGATGAAGAGAGACAGAGTGGAGCAAGGTTGTCAATCTGTGGGCTGATCCGGATCCGGTGGAGCTAGTTGGTCAAGGGTTAATGGGTCACCTAGTTCGGAAAATCTGGAAAGAGTCATTATATTGTACTTATCTTGATAAATTATATCAAATCTCTTCTAACATATGAGTTATAACATATAATATTACACAAGTATAACATGTCGTACTTAGATCCAACATATATAGTGAAAATTCACATACACTTATATAACATCAATATTCAAATGTTCAACTTAAGATTCCAAAGATTGAGTTAGGCGAAAAAGAAAAATTGGAAAATAGGCGCATTTCGCAAACCAAAGAAAAAAATGAGACAATTTGACATCCAACCCGGTAACTTTTAACGATTGACCCAGCGGGATGCTTGCGACCTGTTTTTCTCACCAAGCCAGAATCAAAGTGGGTCGACCCGCAGGTTGACAACCTTGTAGTGGAGCAATACCGAAGAACCACAAACCCACCCGTTAGTATTGGGCTGGTTAAGAGAAACCCGAACCGACCCCAAGATCCCAAACGAAACGACACATTTTAGCTTTCGTGTTGCCCACTAGAACTAGGGTCTGGATTTTTTATTTTTTGTTTCACCATCCCTCCAATTTCCAAACCTCCTCTTCTCTCCTGAACCAACGCCTAAGCCACTACTAAACTGGATCTCTGTTCGGGACATCGCAACGCCGGCGATGGGTCAATCGATATTGTAGAGCTCTCCACCTTTCCTGCCATCCATTGTTTACCCGATTTCTCGCCGTTTCAATCTGAATTCATCTCCCAACTCTGCCGCCGGGAGGAACTTCGCTTCACTATCTTCAAATGGCAGCGAAAAAGCTTGTCCGGGACTTGCTCCTGGCTAGGCAGCCACTCCTCGTCCAACTCAAGCCTCCTCAGGTTTTTCATTTTCCCTTTTCTGTTTTATTCGTCGCCGAGGGGTTAGCTTACAATAGTTTTTTCCGTCTGTGGGTTAGGGTTTATGTACGGCGTCAAGGTTTATGGTGGACAGTAGGTGGTCAAGTTACCGGAGGTTTGGTGTCTTCAACAATGTTAAAGAAGAAGTTAATAGGTATCTTTTATCATCCTCATTCCCTCTTAACCTTACTTCACCCGGCTCCGTAGCTCTTTGCATTGCTGGGTTGCATGGCATGGTATGGTATCATTCTTTATGGCGTGGTGAGTAAATTTTCCGCCGGTCTGTTGGTTCAGAAATCCAGAGCTTCAGAAGTCAGTTAAGGAATTGAAGGAGAAAGCTAAGGAATTGAAGGAGAAAGCTGGAGGACTTAAAGGGGTTAAAGATGACTTAAAAGTTAGGTAATCGAGTAGACTAGTGGTATTTCTGGGGATGTCATTTTGGTATTCTTAGTTCATAGGCTGAGACATATCTTTGTATGTCAAGGGAGGCCCTGAGATGGTGAAATGGTGAATGCAGAACGAAGCAGACAACTGAGAAGCTGTATAAGCATGTTGATGGCGTCTGGACGGAGGCTGAAGCAACTGCTAAGAAGGTATGGTTGGGATGGACAGTAGGTTGTCCACGTTCTTGCTTATTATGAATGGTACTTACTGGTCATTGTTATAGTCTATGCTATTTCAGGTTTCCTCAAGTGTCAAGGAGAAGATTTCTGCTGCTACAGAAGAGGTTTGACCTGTTATTCGGATAAGTCATTGTGAACATTTCTGTGGGCTTGAAATCAATTTTATGTCTTGATGAATTATTATCGTCTTTTAAATTTAGGTGAAAGAAGCTTTCAAGATGGGGAAGAATGAGTCTGCTGAGTCCAGCGGCACTTCGTCTGAAGATGGTCCTCACACAAAAGATAACACTAAAGGTGCAACTGGGGAAGAAACAAATCAAGGTTCCGAGACTAAGGAATCGGCAGAAACATTGTTTGGAAAATTCAAGTCAAGAATCCCTACTTTTTCTTCGGCATTCCAAAAATTGAAGGAGGCAAAGGTCACTGAGATAATGAAGAAGGGATATGACATTGTGAAGGATGAGTTAAATGCTAATCCAAATGCAAGAAAGCAACTCGAGTTTACCCCTTTTAAAGGAGAACTAAGCACAAATACTGATGTTGTTCCACTGTCGAGTCCAAAGCAGTCTCGCTTGAATGAAAAGTGGCAGGCTTTTAGGAAAAAGGTGTGGTATCCTCTATGCTAGCATTTCATCTTATTTCCACAGTACCAAACCTGCATGTATCCGGATCATCATTCTAATATCGGTAATTACTGTTCCCTGCTCCAATTTGCAGATGCAAGGCAATCCTGTTTTCAAGCGTGTCTCTGGGATTAGTAAACCTGTTGTGACCAAAAGTCAAGAGGTATAATCTTTATCCCTTCGGTGGTTCTGTTTTTTCTGCTAAGTTTGTAATTCATTTACTTCTTTCTTGGTCTTTGTTGTCATCTCTGTTCATTTTGTTTTTCTTTTTCCCATATGTCCTTTGTTGCTTTAATTAACAGCTTGCAGAAGACATGCGGGAAAGATGGGAGACAAGTGACAATCCCATTGTTCACAAAATTCAAGAGTATGCACGACTCTGTTTTTTCATGTGCCCTTCTTAAATGGGCAGCTGGGTAGTAACTTGTGCCATTTTATTCACAACATAACCTTTTCTCCTTGTGACAGTGTCAGTGATACCATCTTTCATGAAACGGATACTGCATCCTGTATCAAGGAAATACGTAAACGTGATCCGTATGTGAGCTGATAGCCACCTTTCCGTTGTCTCTTTATATTTATTTTCCTGATGATATGGGGCCATACGCTAAACCTGTTCTTCTCCTGGATTCCTACATGCCAGATCATTCTCTTTGCCAGACTTTGTGTCGGAGATTCAAGATGCCATTAGACCTATCCTTACTGCTTACATGAAGGTTGTTATTGGTGTCTGATATCCACCTGTCCCACTGCATCCCTTTCCATAATCACTTTGGTTACCAAAAACTAAGAATTCATTAAAAACTTAAAATTGTCTGATTTGTATAATGTATGAGCAGGGAGACACTGAAGCTTTGAAGAAGTATTGCTGCCCAGAAGTAATTGCTCGGTGCGAAGGAGAGCGTAAAGCTTTCACGAGCAGTGGCATCTTCTTCGATAATAGGGTATGGAATTTCACTGCATTTCTCTGTTCCTGTCAACTCATGGTTTTTCTGAGCTATAGTTGGAGGAATTGGTGCTAATAATCGACTCTCTGATGCATTTTGCTATGCTGCAGCTTCTTCATGTGTCCGAGGTGGAAGTACGAGAGACCAAAATTATCGGAACAGCTCCGATAATAATTGTAACGGTATGCTCCCATTTTGGACCACAACTGAGTACCCATAAACTTTTGATTCGGACTTCATTCATGTATATATCTTGGCAAAATTTTGCAGTTCCAGACACAGCAGATTCATTGCATGCGGGATCGTAACGGTAAAATTACTGAAGGCGGCCAGGTAAACCTATCTTAGCTGTTGTGTTCTTCTACTAACCTTCATGCACATGCTTCAGTTGGGCGATCCCTGGTCGGTTTATGATAACAATGGAGAGAGCTCTGATAACTGTAGCCCCTTTTTTTTATGTTATGGGTGTCAGGATACAATCCACACTGTGTATTATGGCTGGGCAATGCAACAAGTAGAGCCACAAGAACTGGGAGAAGGTGCTATCTACCCAGTATGGAGGTTAAGGGAAATGCAACAACTTGGTGTCCAAGCTCTCATTTAACATCTCAACCACCTTATTTGATTGCCTTCTTGATATGAATATCAAATATGTAACGCCTATATATACACGGGTTGAAGCACCGGAGAAGTCTGGTGTAATTTTGATCGAATGTTATCCATTAATGTTATCTAATGTGTTTTCTAAGTTTAGGTTCAAGTCATTAATTGACAACGGTCGAACGTTTCTGACAAATGGTTGACCTTCTGCAGATGCAGTTAACCGTTTTCTTCAAATCATTAGCAAAGCAATTAACCCTAACAGGCCAAGAGAAATATAGGAGTGTGATCAAATCATCAAACATCCTGAAAGCAGGCCCAATTTATCAAAGGAAAGCCCACTAGGCTGACCTGCTGCTTCCAACTCAATAGCCCAAATATTATCCAAACTTAGTAGGGCAACCAAGCCGCTCATAAACGGCTCGGCGTCCTATTCGAGAAAAACTCGTTCGAGACTCGATTCATCTTAATCAAGCCGGCTCGTGAACAAGCTCGTTAACTAAATGAGCCGAACTAGAGTCATACCATGTTCAGCTTGAAAGCTCGCGAACAAACTCATTTAACGGTTTGGCATCAGAAAGGATTGGAATTCATGGATTTTATGTATTGAAATTGGGATAAATATTGTGTTTTGTTTTGGTAGACTTTGCTATAGGTTTGAATGTATATTTTGTGCTCAGTTCTAGCTCGATTTTGAGCTATATAATTAACATTATATGTGCTAAACTCGATTTTGGACTCGTTAAAAATATTTGGCGAGCCGAGCTCGAGTCGAGCTCAAAATTTTCATAAACGAGTCAAGCTCGAGCTTGCATATTAAAGCTCGCGACAAAAACGAGCTTGAGCTCGAGCCTGAAAAATATATTAACGAGCCGAGCCTAAACGATGGCAAAGTTTGGCTATGCTCGGATCAGATCATTAATAGCCCTAAAACTTAGTGACCAAATAAAAGTCTAGAAAAACTTCTTTGAGCAAAATGGCTAAATCACATAGTTCAGTGACCATCTATGTAATTTTGACGAGCGACTTGAGCAAAAAGAAAACCCCGTTCTTCTATGTTATACAATCCCTTACCCAGCTGCGACCTTCATTCACACTCTTAAAACTAGTGCCAGATTTCTTCGTCGGAGAGGCTTAACGGCGGCGAGAAAACGAGCCTAATATCTAGTTCAAAAAATGTTCCGCAACCAGTACGATACGGATGTCACGACATGGTCCCCGGCAGGACGGCTGTTCCAGGTGGAGTACGCGATGGAGGCAGTGAAGCAAGGCTCCGCCGCAATCGGGCTCCGATCCAAGACTCACGTGGTCCTCGCCTGCGTGAACAAGGCTCAATCCGAACTCTCTTCCCATCAGCGGAAGATCTTCAAGGTCGACGACCACATCGGCGTTGCGATTGCTGGACTCACCGCCGACGGGCGAGTTCTCTCCCGGTACATGCGATCCGAGTGCATCAATTACAGCTTCACGTACGAGTCCCCTCTCCCCGTCGGCCGTCTCGTTGTTCAGCTCGCTGATAAGGCTCAGGTGCGAGGGGTTGTTGGTTTTGTTGTTCGCTATGTGAGGGTTTTCTGTTTTGTATGTGTGTGCTGGTTTTGTTTTAGTTAGGTGTCAATTAATTGATTGATTTGTTAGAATAGAGGGGATTTGGGTGGATTAGGGTGTCAGTAAGAAGATTATGCTATAGGAAATGTCGAATTTTAGGGGTGCTCTGCCTAGTTTTCATGAAGGCTGGAACCCTAATTTGTAAGCAGAAAGCTTATATCTATAAGTCCCTGCTTTTCTGCATTCCTCTCATGTTCTGCCTATCCTATCCTCGATTAATAGAGAGGGGCATTCATGAATGGATTGAGGCTCTGGACTTCCTCACTAACCACGAAGTGGTATACTAGTCATAGTGCTAGCTAGATTACTCTTGAGAGAATATCTTCGAGAACATCTATTATGGACCATTTCGGTTAAGGAGAGCTGTTGTAAATGTGGGTATGGTGATGAGCCCTGCAGCTGAATTAGAGCAAGGCTATGTAGTTGAAGGACTTCAACACTGTGCCTTTCTGATGCTCAGTTGTATGTGAACTTGTAAAGCAGGAATAGGAGGTAGTCACATATTTTTTGGAGCTTCAAGTTCTTGAGAACCTTCTCTCTAGCTGGTTTGTGTTTTTAGCTGCATGAAAACCGATTTTCTCCATGGATCCCTTTGGTTTGCGTTTGGTGGTTTTCAATTTCAAGCCTTTAAGTCACCATGTTCTCCTTTGATTTTATATTTATGAGTGCTTGTATCTACTCCGATATCTTTTTCTTAAGGAATGTACAGATACGAAACTTCAGAAATTCCTATACTCAACTCGACCGCCCTACACTAGAAGGAATGTTAAGGATTTTCCTGTTGAATTTAGGAAATTAAGCTTTGAACATTGCTGATTTAGCCTATCGATGAAAGAAACTTGAATGTGTACCAATGTTAGTGACTACTTCAATTTTGTTTGATAATTTCCCATCTTCCTAGTCACTTGGTTTACAAACCCCTTGTAATGCAATAGATCAACATTTGTAGTTGCTCATTTGTTTTTACCTCTGCAGTCACTGTGCGTAAACGCACCATTAGGTTTGTTAAATCAGGTCAATAGGACCCTCCTACTTTTTCTCTTCTATTATTTGGTCCAATTTACATTTTGATTTAACTTCCTAGTTGTGGAGATTGGAACATACCCATATTTATATGACAATCTGAATTGGTGCTGTAGCTCTTTATCAGTCAGCTCCACTCAACTATCATCTTAATGATTGCATATAATGTTCAATTTTCAGGTTTGCACCCAGAGGTCCTGGAAGCGGCCATATGGCGTGGGCCTCCTAGTAGCAGGTTTGGATGAATCGGGAGCACATCTCTACTACAACTGCCCCAGTGGAAACTACTTCGAGTACCAGGCTTTTGCCATTGGATCCCGCTCTCAAGCTGCCAAAACCTACTTGGAGCGTAGGTTCGAGAGTTTCAATGATTCATCCCGAGACGAGCTTGTAAAGGACGCTCTTATCGCAGTCAGAGAAACTCTACAGGGAGAGACCCTCAAGAGCTCCATCTGCACGGTTGCCGTGGTGGGAATCAACGAGGACGGAACTAACGAGCCTTTCCATATTCTCGATCAGGATGCTGTCCAGAAGCTGATCGATGCTTTCGAGATCGTGAAAGAGCCCGCAACGGAGGCTCCTGCCGCTGCTGAACCCGAGGGTGATGCTGATGGGGCTGGTGCTAGTGATGCGGCGCAGGATCCTCCTGCTCCAGCGGCCGCTGATGAAGGGGCAGCTCCGATGGAGATATGATGAAGATGCGATGTTGTAGGTGATGGTGGATCTTTTTAGCGATGGCTTCTGCAGGGATTTGGTCGAGAATGAGTGTGCGCAAGTGGGTAGTAGACTTCTTGTTTGTGGATCTTTTGATCAAGTTTATGGATCGAGTTATTTGGTGCAGACAATTGAATGCTTCTTGAGATCTATCAAACAGTTTACTTTTGGTACACTTGAATATTGGAATCAGTAGTAACCTTGATTATGATCATCACGAAACTGCCACCTTGCTGATTAAAGGCAAGTCAAAATTTTCGTTTTTTTTTTTTACGATAAGAATCCTTCTGCATTCGGTTTACTGTTTATTTAATTACTAATTGTGAAGGCATGATTTCTTTTGAGGCCTTCCCAATGATAGTAATTTGCTAACCGCAGAATTATGGGGATTGGTACTTGCACCTAAAATGGAGTTTACTAATGGGACGACTCATAATTTGTTTTGAACTCTAATATTTACATGTTTGTTTGAAATCGAATCACTACCAGTTTGCATATCCATGTAAAGAGGTTAGATATAATTGATTAGCCAGTAGCCACCCTAACACTATTATGGAAAGAGAGAAAAAAATAGTCACACCGCCTTAACAAGAATGACAACCAAACCCATGATCGGTGGGTATCCCAACATAGTTAACGTTGGAATCTCCACATTAACTGGGTATGGAGCGGGTATGAGCAAAATGCGATGATTGCGGGTATCTGACCGTGAGGAATTTTACAATGCTATATAGCATTGGTGCTATAGGTTTTTGCCTTTATGGTACAACTTGAAATTGTACGTTTGACATTATGGTACAGCTTCAGATTGTACCTATACTTTTTGTACAAATTCTTTTTTGGTACAACTTAAACTTGTACTTTATGTGATGGAACAACTTCAAGTTGTAGAATTGTACCATAACATAATGCTACAAATTCCTTTATGGTACAACCTAAACTTATACATTTAATGTTATGGTACAACTTCAAGTTGTACATTAAAGCACCAATGCTATATAGTATAGTAGAAGTGCTCATCTGACCGTTCCCGTAATCAACGCAAGATTCTCCACATTGACTGGGTATGGACAACATTTGTCATAAGTTTGATGAGGGTGGAGCAAGAGGCATGATTGCATAACTCTATGGTACAAAATTTTGAACTGCCTTGTAACCTAAGCTTCAATCCAAACCTAACCCACTTCTTGAAAGCAAAAGCCGTCTCCCTCTTCTTCTCCTGGGATTCTGTCTGAAACTTGAGAGCCTTTTCCTTGTACATTGTCTTATGGTACTTCAAGAAGTGTGCTCTATACTTGTCTTATGGACATCTTCTCCTCCATTGAATCCGTAACCTCATTAGCTCGGGCAATAGACTTCATCTCTCCCCAGAGCTCTCAGTCACTTCAATATACTTTCCTCCGTCAGCTGCATAAACAGTCACCATCGAATGGAACGTTGCTGCATTCTTCTTCAGAGCCTTCTCAACGTCACCAATAAACCTCTTCTTGGAAAAGAAATGGATCACATTGTTCCAGTCATGGACTCCTGAGTCCATACTTTTCATTTTTCTAAAACCAACCCCAATCTTAGTGACAATCTTCCAGACCGGCTTTATGGTATCTGACCCAGAATCAAATCCGACTGAATCGATTAATCGTATATAAACCAACTTAGTTGTTCTAAAAAGTAAAGGCAAAACGAACGAAACCAAATTGGATCGGACCTAATCTAAACGAAATGCAATATACTTTCCCACTAATTTTTCATTTTCAAGTTAACCCAGAAACCATTTCCACATGAAAATAAAACCAAGTACTTGAAGACCTTGACAGGATAAAGAGCAGCACCTGTTCAAGAATCAACACTAGCTAATGGAAAATGAATTGAACTCTTAAGTATACAACCTTCACATTCCCTTCAGCACAATCGACAAATCCATTTGCCTTCATGGCATTGTGCTCAAAGTGTCAAAGCAGAAGTACATTGAAAATCTGCAATTACTGTAAATCGTGTTTCATTTAACTACAAAATGACTGCTCATCACAGGGCGATTCACACGTATATCGCCTTTTCGCTTCCTAAAACCATATTCAGAAATTTCCTGCTGCTGGAAATGAGGGGTGTCTGTTATGAATTATGATCATGTGTTCACTTGCTACATCTCGTCTCTGATCTAGATCGATGTTTTCAACTTTCTGACAATGTGTGGAATCAAGCTTGTATTATCTTTGACTGCTCCATCGACACAAGACTCCAAGGTGTTCATGGCGTCTGGTCCAGCTGTTTGGAGCATAGCTGCTTCGTACTTATCCTGGCAAACCATAAAAGACCGCCTCATCCTCTCCTGCATCAATTAAAACAAAAAAGTTCGTCTCAACAGTTTGTTCCCTAAATCGAAGAAAAAGAATCTAACATGGACACCAGGACAGTTGTAAACTTCCATGAATTTGACAGCTAAAACAAGCAAAACTTAAAACTGCAATGTGTTACAAAGAACAATCAGCTTGTTCCCTAATTCGACGACCTATAGAATTCAAGAGACACAACTGGTGAATCAAGATTTTGCAGCCTATACAAGGAGATCACTCGTACTGCTCATTGATTAAGACTGTTCTCATGATGAAGAACAGGTATGTTTGAACAAAGAGGCCTACACAATCATCATTCATACCACACACAGATTAAGACTGTTCTCATGACGAAGAATAGGTATCGAAGAACAAAGACCAGCTTGGTTTCGTGTTTCCCTGGACCTCTAGTCTAATCCCCAACTACTGATTTTCCTATTATTGTAGCCGAATAACAGCTTAATCAACATCTTTCATACGGTTTTATTCGCAGTAAGGAATATTGGCGTCATGGACCTAACCTACCAATATGGCCTCCCTGAATCTAATGCTTCTTAATTTCATTACTCCATAAAAATGCAAGAGGTAATGTTTCTTAAACAGACAGCGAGAATCCAGCAAATGATCCTTGCTTAGTCTGTGCCCACACATTAACTTAGCCCTAGTTCTCTAGGACGTGAAAACTCTGTTCCACTTGTCCAAACAAATCCATTACAACTGCACATATATAGCATGCAGGCCGAGTTCCAACAGCAAAAGAGCCAGTTTGTTATAGTCCAAAACAATTCCCCTGCTACTGGCGACAGCTTGATTCCAGTACTCACAGAGAACAACTAAAAATGCAATTCTCAGACCAATGTTCCAATGCAATCACAGGTAACTTCACAACGATAAGACCGATCCTGCTAGGCTGCTACAAATTTCACATACTCTGGTGCTGGTTTGCATTAACTTGGAAACTCATTTCCCACGGCTCAAACTCCCAGCCTATTATTCCAATTTTTCCAAAGCAATCGACTGAATGATCCTAATCACAACAATGAGAGGTAGTACTAGTTCCATTCCTTGCCTTCTACGAAATAGATCAGAGAATCTAGCCAGCGATTCTGGTTCTTCTTCGTTCACCTCCCAGACAATACGAGTAAACTGTAAAGAAAACCGGAAGAACAAAGAAAACAAGAACTTGCCTGAAACTTAGCCATCTCGTCCTCGTACTTGTGCTGGGCAGTAAGAACTGGCACGGAGCAATTCTCAATACAGCTCGCTATCTCTTCCTGCTTCCTCTTCCTATCAAAGCATTCGTACGCGCACTTGAAGTACGCTTGCTGCAAACCAAACCGAATCGCCATCCCTCATCACCAATCAAACATCGCCAAAGAAAGAAAAAAAAGATTCGGGAAAAGGAAACGAATAGCTCATTGCAAGCGAGAAAGAATGGGATTCTTGATAGCATTTTCACGGAAAAGAGCCAGCGAACGATTGGAGAGAAGCGCGCGAACCTGGAGTGTGAAATTGATATGGTCAGTGACGGGGTGGAGCTGCGCTTGAATTGTTGAGTTGACTTCATCGAGCTTCCGCTTCATTCTCTCTTGAGCCTGCTGCTGAAGAGCCGCCTGTGAAGCTGCTGCGACGTGATCCATTCTCTCTTGGCTATGGCGGTTTCTCGAGGGTTTATGCTCTGTAGGGTTTAGGGTGAGAAGAGGAACTCGGAAAAGGGAAACTGACGAGGTTTTCAGGGGCTCCGTCCCTTTAATAACTTGAGGGTTGAGATTATAAATGGATAGTTAATTTTTGGTAATATTTATTTGGGTTATAGGTATAATATGCATTTTTATTACGATGCTTTATCAAATATGTCTATTTACTATTTTTTACATTAAATATGTCCCTGTACTTTATAAAAATATCAAACATGCCCTTTTATTAAAATTTTCATCTAAAAACCGTTAATAAAAACGAAATTTAGTTTGAGCGACACAAATGACTAAAATATCCCTAATAAATTCACTTTAGAATTTTTATGGTTCTTTTGTATAATCAAATCATTCAAATAATTTCACTTTGAAAAGACCCAAGGAAATAAAACAGGGGACAAAACTGACATTTTTCCTCTCATTTGCCGATGTCAGGTCGTGTAAATCTCGGTTCATCCACAATTGACAATTTTTTCAATGAAATTTCAATATAAGGGCATGTTTGATAATCTTTTCTGGAAAGTCAATCATTCGATCATCGCCATTTTCCATGCAAGGAAAGAAAATTCAACGAGTAAAATCACGGATTGGGGAAAGTCAAGTTCTGATGAACCTAAACAGCAACTCGATTTAGTGATATTAGATCGACGAAATCCACACAATTAGGACGTATTTTCAGAGCTACATTTGCAGACTCCACGTTTTAAACCGACGATCAGACGAAATAAGGATGATTTCTGGGTTTTCGGCGAGCTTACGTAGTGGATTCGATTCGATGAGAGATCAGAGAGACGGAGACGGGAATCCAAACAACGCCGACGAGATGAACAGCAAATACGCGAGTCCGACGGAAAATTACGCAGATTATTTTATTAACCCTCAATAACTAAAACTCGCACCTAAACGCGCCTTTCACGTGCCGTTTTATTCCTCACTGTTGCTTAAACCGGCGTCGTTTTACTCATTCGGAAAAAGACCTTTTTGCCATCCTTCTCAAAGCGAACTTCTTGGCCTCAGTCGCAGTAAAACTATCATTTCCCGAACACAGTCGAGAGAGAGAGAGAGAAAAGAGAGCATTTTCCAAAACCCTTATAAGCCGGCCGGCGATCAGGAGACCGGAGGAAGCCGATGGGGACTCTCGGAAAGGCCGTGTACACCGTGGGATTCTGGATTCGGGAGACCGGACAGGCTCTCGATCGTCTCGGTTGCCGCCTCCAAGGCACCCACGCCTTCCAAGAACAGCGTAAGTGAAGCGCCGACGGCGAGCTGCCGTTCGGGCTTTTACTCTTTTAAAAGCCTAGATCCGTGCGCCGATTCATAAATTTTTTATCTGCCTCCCGCTGCTCTTTCCGATTTGGTTATTGTTTTCTGTTTTATTGTGCCGTTGAAGTTGGAGAAATGTGTTTTTCTTGTGCCATCGGAACTGTAAGCCTATGGCATTTCGTTCTTTTGACTTGCATTTTTCTCCATCGCAATTGATGTACTTTCCCTGTGTGGTTTTGATTTTGGACTTGAATTTCACTGTGGAGAAGATTTGATGTAGTGATTCTAGGACTGTAGATAGCTTAACTAAATTCGTGCAATGTACTTGAGATATCCCTAGGTCGTCTTGGCGAAAGAAGGAAATTTCATGGTTGTGATTCTGTGTCGAACTCAAGTGAAGTTGGTAGGATGGTTTTAGATCAGTGTTTGAAAAGTTGTTTTTCCCCCTGATTTGCGAGTAGAATTGGAATGATGATGGATGTTATGCGTTGGCAGAAGCCTAATGATAACTGTTTGATTCCATGCAGCCATATGTAATCCTGCTTTTTTTGTGGCTGAATGCGATGTTTGATTATCTGGTCGCTGAACTGCTTATTAAGTATACTTAAATCATTTATGTGACACTCCATTTTTATGTTTCAGTGTCTAGACATCGAACACTGATGAACTTATTCGATAAAGTACCTGTTGTCGATAAGGGTGCATTTGTGGCCCCTAGTGCCTCTATCATTGGGGATGTTCAAGTTGGGAGGGCATCATCCATTTGGTATGGATGCGTCTTGAGAGGTAATGTTTTACTCTTATCAATGCAGTGTGCATGATGTTTTCTGCTGAGGTTATTAATTGGTCTTCATTGATGCCTGGTCCTTTGCTAGTAACACGTTCATATTCGATTCTTGGGTGTATAGAAACCATTGCTCGTCATGCTAAATGTACTTAAGCTATTTGTTCAGATTCACTGTGAATCCTTAGTTATTAGTTGGGCTGTCTTCAATTGGCATGGTAATGGTACTAGAATATGGATCAGTAATCTCTCTGTGTCAAAAGAATGTCTATCTGAATATCATATTTGCCGTTTCGCCTTATTAGAGGTGAAGATTTCACCTTTAACCACCATTTGTGTAGGAGATTTCTCTTGCTTAAGTTCCAGTTAGACAATGAAACTCCTTTAAGCACCTGTCGTTTGGGGAGTCCCATAAATATGTAATGCTGATTTTCTTTGTTGATAGGTGACGTGAACAGAGTCAGCATTGGGTCTGGAACTAATATACAAGATAACTCTCTTGTGCATGTTGCAAAGTCTAATCTTGCTGGGAAAGTGCTTCCAACTATCATTGGTGACAATGTCACTGTAGGTGAGAAATTGTTCCTTTCCTTTTGTTTATCCAGCCTTTCTCAGGTTTCATACCATTGAACCACAAAATAATCCTGGACTCACATTGAGCAGGTCATAGTGCTGTTTTACATGGATGCACTGTTGAGGATGAGGCTTTTATTGGTATGGGTGCCACACTTCTTGACGGTGTGGTTGTAGAGAAACATGGAATGGTTGCAGCTGGAGCCCTTGTGAGGCAGAATACAAGGATCCCTGCTGGAGAGGTACAAGTGCCGAATTCGCTTCATAGCTTTGCCTCACCCAAACTCTCTCTGCCTCTCTCTTAGAATATGGTTATAGGACAGGATAGTTTTTATCTCTTTAATCAACAAGATCAAGGTTTTGTGTGATTCAACTGGTGTCTTTGGGAGATATGGTCGACAATAACAAATAGTAGAAGTGGAAGTGTGTTAAAAGAATAGACAATAAGTGAAATTAAGAAATAATTAAACGGAGCCACAATTATTGAGATCTCTAGCGTATATGGAATTGTTTATTTATTTTAGTTTTGTAAAATGACTGTAATTCATCCATAAGGTTTTTGAGTAGAAGAGAAATGAAAGAATTAGAAATTGTGAGAAGGTAAAGGCTAGAAGTGTACATTTGGAGAAGTTAGTTACTACTTACTAGATTAACTCTAGTTACCAACATCTGCCACTCAATTGAATCAAACAGAGTCGAAGTGCTCATTCATTTCTGCTTAAGTAAAAGATAGTGAACTCTGTCGCACTGTAGTGATGCAAGGAGAATAAAAGCGACTCTGAAGGAACTGCTGGTTGGTTAGTTGACATACTATTACTTTTGATAATGCCCATTGCTTATGATTATTTCCTATATCGACTGTGAACAGGTAGTGGAACCCATAATACAGTGTCATCCATCAGGAAACCTGAATTAGTGTTTCCCTTCTTGTCTTCCTTCATATGCAGGTATGGGGAGGAAATCCTGCAAAGTTTCTGCGGAAGCTGACTGATGAGGAGATGGCCTTCATTGCAGAGTCAGCTGCCAATTACTCCAATCTTGCACAGGTCCATGCAGCTGAGAATGCCAAGCCTTTCGACGAGATTGAGTTCGAGAAGATGCTTCGTAAGAAGTTTGCAAATCGCGACGAGGAGTATGACTCGATGTTGGGCGTCGTCCGTGAAACTCCGCCAGAGCTCATTCTTCCCGACAACATCCTACCAGCAGCATCCAAGGAAAAATGAGGTATCGCTTCTGAAGAAAGTTTTAAGTTCGGGGATTTGTGGTCTAAGACTCAAAGAAGATATGTGTTATTTTTATGCACGTACCGAAAGGCAGGGATTGAAAATCTCTCCCAGAATAATAACAAGCATGCTTAGGTAGTAGAATCTCTCGTTTTCAGCTTTTGGGCTCAGCTATTCTTGTGGTTTATTCGGACTTAAATTTTCATCCTTGGGAGAAAAGGGATGCCGCAATGCAGTTTGTAATTTTCATGTCCTCTTTCTCTTCTTCGACATCGTGGATCCAAGACTGCGCATTTTTCGAATGATTTAGGTGATCTGTACTAAGAATCGTGCCCTATCTTTCACTTCTATAACTTGAATTTGTTCGGGAGGAACTGGGTTGAGGTGCGAGGTAACGTTCATCATTTTGCTTCAATCAATAGTTAAGTGATTAGGGTTTGTAAAATCGTATCAGAAATTGGATTAGTGAGATTGATATCGTGATGCCTTGCTCTATCGTTGGAGATTGAATCAGTACGACCAGCTTGTCTGTTACATCTTCACAACTAGTAGTGGTTTAGAGTTTGGTAGTCATGTTTCAATGCCCTTTATCTTCCGGAAGACATTTCTGATAAATGTTTTGAGAATCTACAGTTGCACAATGTGATCTGTGTTGGAGGTTAAGAATGAAAAACTTGGACCGGTTTCCAGATGCTTGGTTTATGAGTCTTGTTGCCAGAACTTCCCAAAGTGATAGACGTGGCGAGTTGAAAATGTTGTGGCTCCTGTTGAGTTTTCCCAGTGGTGGAACCCAATGCCCATGTGGGTAGCTTTTACAACTCACATGCTGGCCACTGGCCTGGCTGTTGAGATCAATGTAATGGAGATGTGTATGCAAATAGAATATGTTAAAACATTGAATATATCTCATAGAAAGAGTTTCTTCAACCAAGTTGGAAAGGTAGTTTCTTCAACTATCTGCAGGCCGTAGGTAACAGAAAAAGTCGGTCAGTCTCCTGCAGCAGCAACGAATGTGGGTAGCATTACAGTTTGTGATCTCTCTCAACACTCGAGTTATCACGACGAAGTTGGTTTTTGACACATTGTGTGACCGTGAATGTTAGAGAAGGATAGAAGGATTAAACACAAGTTTGCGGATAAGAATTCGAAAGGTCAAGCCAGAGAGCCAAGGGGTAGGATGGCTTCGTGCCCGTCTAGCCCATGGTTCAGGAAACCGTACCGGAAGTCATACCAGACTCGTCTGTGGTAGGGTATTTTGTGATACGACCGTGGTTCAACCGTTATGTACCGGTAAAATACCGTTTGGTAACAAAAAAAAATATTTTTGTTAAAAATACCGTACCGGCAAAATCAGGGTACCATTTCGGGCTAATACCGGATAAAACCGAAATATACCGGATAAGAAAACAAAATATGCTAAATAGCAAATAGATATAGGTAACATAACCATCAACAAACTATGCAACAATACAAAATCAAGTAATAACCGTCCACAACATTTCAAAATCAACCCATCTATTCGCTTACTATTTCATTTTCATATGTGATTGATTAACGTTGTTAATTGGCTTAATTGCAAGTTTGGTCACCCGAATTGCTTAAAAATTTCACGTTTGCCACCCGAATTGATTTATTCCATTTATAGTCACTCGAATTAGTTGAACAGTCCAAGTTCGGTCACTCTCCGTTAACCTCCGTTAAACTCTGTTAATGACGACCATTAAGTGATGACGTGGCTAACAGAAAGACACAGTCAACACATTTAAACATTAAAAAAAGACGACCCGACCCGACCCGCCAACTCAGCCTTACCCGCCCAACCCAAGAACCAACCAAGCCTAATTCACCCTAAACCCAGACCCGAGACCCAACCCCCCATGAAAATTAAATCGCAGATGGATTAGGGTTCCCTTCCTCCATCTTCATCCTCTCATTTCAGCTCATAGTCGTTCCCGATCTGGGTTCCTGTTAGATCTTGACTACACCCGCCTTAAAATGCTCGATCCAAGTGACGAAGTAAGTTTCACATCCCTCCCCTGATCTCGATCTCTATGATTAGAGCAGCTAGCTAATCAAAGTGTTATCATTCTTTTCAGATGTCGTGCTACGCCGATGACGACGGCAGCCGGGGATCCTCGCCGGGGGGAGAAGGAGACGGCCAGCAGAAGAAGACGTGCGCCGATTGCGGCACAAGCAAGACCCCTCTATGGAGAGGCGGCCCTGCCGGTCCCAAGGTAAATTAATCATCGCCAGCCGTTCATTACAATCATGATCGATCTCTGATTCAATCTCCACCGTCCGATCTGTGTTTCTGATCGTGGGTTCTGTCCTTTTTTTCCCTTGCAGTCGCTTTGCAACGCGTGTGGGATTAGGAGCAGGAAGAAGAGAAGGGATATACTAGGGTTAAACAAATCGTCATCCACCGAGAAGAAATCGGCGGCGAAGAAGGCTCTGACTCATGGCGGCGGTGGCGGAGGAGGAGGGCATAATGGTCACACCAGCAGTAACAAGCTTGTGGGAAACGGGTTGAAAGCGAGATTTGTGGCGTTGGGAAGGGAAGTAATGATGAAGCAGCAGCAGAGATCGAAGGTGGAGAAGCAGAGAAGGAAGTTGGGGGAGGTAGAGCAAGCGGCGGTTCTGTTGATGGCTGGGTTGGTTCTTGGGTTGGGCAAGTAAGGCTGAGTTGGCGGGTCGGGTCGTCTTTTTTTAATGTTTAAATGTGCTGACTGTGTCTTTCTGTTAGCCACGTCATCACTTAACGGTCGTCATTAACGGAGTCTAACGGAGGTTAACGGAGAGTGACCGAATTTGGACTGTTCAACTAATTCGAGTGACTATAAATGGAATAAATCAATTCGGGTGGCAAACGTGAAATTTTTAAGCAATTCGAGTGACCAACCGTTGTTAATTTGTCATAAAGTGACGGGACAAAATGGAATATGGAATCCATTTTGAACTCAATGTTACGGCGGCGGACGTCTACAATGGAGGAATGTTTCGTTCCGTCTGCTGCTGTTTCTCAGCAAGTCGGGGTCGCCGGCTGCTGCTGTTTCTCGGCGAGTCGAGAACGAACGGAGTCGGGGAGGAAGTGAGGAACTGAAGGAGGCAGGGACGGACAGATGGAGTCGCCGGCTGCTGTTGTTTCTCGACGAGTCGGGGACGGAGGCAGGCTCTGGAAGGGGCTTCACCTTTTCGGCGGCTGCTAGGAGTGCGAGTAGGGTGGGAGGACGAAGGAAGAAGACAAATGAATTTCGTCGGTTAGGGTTGTTTTGTTTGGACGGATGAAATTCAAAATTTTTCTTTTCTTTAAACAAAACAGTGTTGTGTTGTTCAATCAGGGTTTTTTTTTAATTAAAAACAAGTACCGGCGGCCTGATCTAAACCGGCCGAAATTTCGTCGGTAGGCGGCCCTATCTAAATTACCGGCCGACACACAACAAATCGCTGGGATTTCCTATCGTGTCGGACTTGGTCTGGTTTCTGGTTTTTTCGGTTCAACCGGCCGGTCCAATCCGGTATCCTGGACCATGGTCTAGCCTAGCCTAGCCTACTTTTGGAAATGGAAGTGAAACTGCTTGTGAGTTGTGCCCTGTCTAGATGTTCCAATTTTATCGGATGTTTCGAAGGGACGACCTACTTAGATGTTTGACGTGAGCGCAATCTCGTTGTTGCGCACCTGAACCCGATCTCATCGACACTACACACCGTGGCTTCAAAAGGTGAAGAAAGTTTTATAAAAAAAATGAAGAAAGTAAGTTATATTGGAAATTCGATATTGTTTTATTTTCTTTGTGCGAGTCGGATGGAAAGCAGCATCAAGTGTTAAAAAAAATCCGAATTCAACCAAACCCCACCAATCACAAAAGCGAGTAAAACTTAGTCCCGACAAAAAACTCGTCAATACCAAGTTCAACACGCTTTGACTTGGTTGATTATTCTGTTTTTTAGGTGCGAGTTGGATGAAAAGTGAGTTAAGTTTTTAATGAAATCCACATCCGAACCACCCATCGTTTAGAAAGAGGATTAATTCGCTCCCAACCAAAAACTCGTCAATAGCAGGTTCCACTCACTTCAACCAAAATTCGTCAAGCCCAAGTTCAACCAGCTTTGACGAAGTCAATTTGTGTTTTAGGTGCAAGTCAGATAGAAAGTCGATCGAGTTTTTAACAAAATTCATACTCGACCCAACCCATCAATTACAAAAGCGGGTAAAACTCACTCCTGAACCAAAACTTGTCAACTTCATATTCAATCCACTTTGACCGGAACGATTGTTTTGCTTTAAAGATGGGGTCGGATAAAAAGCGGATCGAGTTTTTAACAAAATTCACACCCGACCCAACTCTTTAATTATAAAAGGGCGTAAACTTGTTCCTGACTCAAATCTCGTTATAATTAGGTTCAACTCGCTTTGATTAGGTCGAATTAGGTTGGATACTCAAGCCATGAGTTTGGGTTAAAAAGAGAAAGTAAAAAATGGATTGTGATGTATAATAATAAGAAGAAAACAAAAAGAGTTGTAATGTGAACTACTCCTTAGTGTCACATCACAAAATCTCGCTCCCAACCAAGAACTCGTTAACAACAAGTTCAACTTGCTCTCGTACAAAAATTCTCCAATCCCGAATTCAACCCAGACAATAATTTTGTGTACTAGGTGGTGTCGGATGGAGAGTCGATAGAGTTTTTAATAAAATCCACACCTGACCCAACTCATCAATTACAAAAATGGGTAAAACTCAATCTTGAACCAAAACTCGTAAACACCGAATTCAATCCTCTTTGATCGGGTTGATTGCTTTGCTTTTACGTGCAGGTCAGATGGAAAGCATAACAAATTTTTAACAAAATTCACACCATACTTAATCCGTCAACTATAAAAGAGATTCTCACTACTCAAAACTTGTCAACAGTACAACTCTCTTTGAGCTGGTCGAATTATGGTTGATACTCATGAGTTTGATTAAAATTAAAAATATGAATTGTGAGGTATATTAATAATAATAATAAAAGAAATCAGAAAAGCAAAAAAATTATTGTGATGTGCACTATTTTTAGTCTCACATCACAAGACCTCTCTTCTATAATATAAAAAAGTATAATAATGATAATAATAATAATAATGCATGTTTCTAGATTTTGTCCATTTGCATGACTGGTTAGTTGCTAAAAAATATCCACGACAAAAAATAATAACGAGATCTAAATTAGAAGAAAACATTCTTTAAGAATGACGTCGTTTAAGGTGTCCTCTAACTTCGGATTCTTTCTTGTTCTTTCTTCAGACAATTCCATAAACAAATTGCTGATTTGCTGGTCGGCTCACGGTGGTGGTGCATCATTCTGTACGTAGCTTTTGTTTCTATATCCATGGAAATATCCATTTGACTCATATGTATTAGACATTGTTCTGCAGTTTTTTTTTTTTTTACGTGTAGCCACGTGGGCCTGGAGAATTCTTGGTTCATCATGCTATTGCTCTAAGTTCATATACAACTATGAAAGCTATCAGTTAAGAATCCAGTTAAGCAATCAACAAGTAGGATCGAGTTCATCTGGGATGAATGCTTTCTATAAACTCTGAAGTTGGAAACATACATGAGAAGAGAGAATGATTTCAGCATTCGACCCATCACCCCAACATGCAACAACAAACAGCTGCCTCCTCCATTAATGTAGCAAGTTCCAAATCAAACGAACTGGACTTGAAACGAACAATGGCTGATAAGATATTTGGTAAAGGCTATCTGTGTTATCTTCATAATCAATTGCGGATTTCAGGGACGGGGAGGCCCTTTGCCTGCATCTGTTTGTACGCCCACTGCCAATTCTCTGGAGTCACTTCACCACCTAGAGATCGAATCACGGAGCCGCCACTGCAAGAACCAAATCGACAGCATTCCTCCAGGCTCAATCCTTTGGTCAGACCGTACAAGAACCCGCTGGCGAAAAGGTCCCCTGCACCAGTAGCATCTACAGCCTTCGATTCTCCGATGGCTGGAACTCGAACCACCTGGAAAAATGAAGGTTCAATCAGGCGGTTTGAAGGGAGTTGGCGCTGCGGCATAGCAGAAAATCGAAATTACCAACCTCCTTTCCGTGCTTTGCAAGGCAGCCATTTGCCCCTAGGGTGACTACAGCCCACCGGCAGTGTTTGGCCAGGAATTCAAGAGCAGCTTCATGATCAGCATTTGCTTCGCCTCTAAGAGAAATCATCAGCGGCCATTAGTTAGAGAGGAATTTTGATTTTGTTGCTAAGTAGATTGTTTAGTAATGAATGCAACCAAACTGGTAGGTACCTCAGTAGCTCTGTAGCCTCATCCTCATTAGCAAAGCAGAGGTCTACATCCCCTGATAGAAGTAACTCCATCAGCGGAACTCTATGGTTCCGAACCATCTGGGGAAATTGAGGAATACATGGAAGACCAATCGTTATCTTTATGGAAGCATGGACCACTTACCAAGAGTGCAAAATAGTGCAATTTAAATCTGTGTACCTCAAAACTAGCTAAATCCAATGAAACGGAAACACCCTCTTGCTTTGCAACCTTGACAGCAGCTTTGATAACTTCCAAATTGAATATGGAATACCGCATTACCAGCCACTGTAGCAAGAGACCAACTTTGTCACTTGAATATCTTCTCAACAAAGCAGCTTCTTGTCTCTGGTATTCAATGGAGAATGCAAGCAGAAACAATCTGTAACCAACGAAGTAGATAGATAACTGACCTTGGAGCCCATGAAGTCCTCCTTGGCTAATTCATCACCCTGAAAAAGGGAGAAACTTTTCAAGTTTTTCAAACGGTTCAGCCAGAAGAAGCCTATCCCTCACAGAGTACAGTGAGTTTTCAGAAGACTGAAAAGTTTAAGCAAGCACCTGAACTTTGACAGCGTTTGAAAGGCAAGGTCTCATCGTCCGGTTTCCAAGCTCATCCACTAGGCAAACGCACTGGAATTTGGAGCAATGAAGATCAAACATTTTAGTTGAGCTTTCCGGGATAGTTTGTCAAGAGAAAAAGCTGAAACCTTTGGGAACAGAAATAGAGCACCTGAGCAGTAAATCCTTTCTTGGACCTCAACCTTGAAATGTTGATTCCATGAAAGGTCATGTTGCTCACGAACAGCCTGCCTTGATCATCATCCCCACAAGCCCCAATGATACCACAGGATAACCCAAAACCAGCACTCAGTCCCCGAATAGTATTCGCCACACTGCCTCCAGCAATTGTCTTTGCAAGGGAGGAACCATCTGGAGAGGCAAGCACGTGAGCCTTGACCTCCGTCAATATACCGTCAAGCTCTTCAATGGCAACCTACAAAAAGCCAAAAGCTATAGCTCCATCAATTTCCCTTTCAAGAAACACATAAAGCAGATCAATTATTATGCACAAAAAAGACCAAATGGGAAATCTGTCATAGAGCAACTTCAAATGAAATATACAGCTATCTTCATTCACAAGACAAGCTTGGTAGACCAAAGTGAAGCCGAACCCTTGTCAGAGATCAATGATTCCGGCCACAGTACAATCCATAATTCAGGGGGAGAAAAGGTAGAATCTTGCCATAAATGCTTTCAATTACTCGCGGACCCATCGGATGCAGATTCCGATACCCAATTTCCCAATTTTAGCCCATTGGCGCAAATAAACAAACACCCAGTGAGCATATATAAAGAACGAAATGTAAGCATTAGCTTCAGAGTGACCAGAAGGCCAAGAGCGGAGCTTTACTGGAATAGAACCGCCGCGGTCGCCGGGAATTCGATCCAGCAACGACAAATCGACGCGAGCCACGTGGTCGACGAGCGCCGCCGGCTGAAGGCCCAGAATTTGAGGTGGATGATGATGAGGCGCAGTCTCACCGTTCGTGGTGGCCGTCCGTGGCAATCCCTCAGCTCCCATATTGTAGGCAGTCGGCTGTTGTTGCCTTTCTAGGATAATTGTCCGCCGCTGCAGCCGCCACCGCCCGGCTTATGCCTTCGCCTTGGGGCTTGTTTCGGTGAGCGGCGGTGGCTCCGTATTTATAGGAAGAGGAAGGAAGAAAAGAGAAAGAAAAGAGTCAATTTCCTTCTTTGCTCTAGTCTTCGCTTCGGCCCTGCAGGAACGGCGAAGGCGGAGTTTCATAGTGCGGCAATATTTTGGTGCTTAATTCCCGAAACTAACCCTCTGTTAAAGTTTTTTTCAAGGATTGAAAAGCCGTAGAGTACCAATTCGGTTCGATTAGAAAAAGATACAGGATGCAAAATCGGTAGGTGGATTTGGTTGAATCACTATTGAACCACTCTGTTAATATAAATATTGACTTTTTTGGTATAATCTCCCGCACGATTTTACAATCCTTGATTTTTTGCTTTTGTCTAATTTTTATTTCGTATGTAGACCTATGCCAACGGGTGTGATAGCGGTTTTGCATTGTAAACCTATTGGATTTATGATATATTGAATCGGTGGAATAAATTTTTATAATGATAAAATAATTTTTTTGACAAATAATATATTGTGGTTTTTTTTCTTATACAGAGCCGGAGATGGGGAGAGGACATTATGAGAAACTATTATATACAATAATTACCATAATACTTCTAATAATTATGTTTACATGATGCTAATTAACACCCTATTTGTCATTTGATCCCCTGCAAAAGGGTAAATCTTGTCTTCATAACTGAGGTTAAATGTGAGTATTTAGTTAAGTAATTAGGTTCCATTAAACAACTATTGGCAGTCTTAACGTTTGGCTTTCTGAAATGTTAGCTTTGCCATCTCCGGAAGGCATGGACCTTGCAACCTTGTGGTGTTTTGGCTCTATGTGCAATGAATTAGTTCATTCTATATATTATTAAGGATGGCATTAAAGACTATTGTCTAAACCCAGTTTAAATAAGGAAAATCAAGTTTTGGCTTTTCGTGTAAAACTAACAAAATGAAATCACGAGAACATTGGATCCAATAATGGTTAACATGCACTGCGTTGCGCTTACCCCAACGATTAGGCTAAACTTAGTCGGGCACTTCAAAATTGTTGCTCTGCCACCATGATGGGTATCTTTAGAGTGAGAGTGAAGGGTTCGTTTGCTTCAAGAATTTGCATAATGGATTTGGTATAAAAAAACTAATCATCATAGATTTACACACAATCCGTTGTTTGCTTTGTCAAAAATGTTTAGATTAATCAGTGGGCCCCACGGATTTGGGTATTTTTTTGCTCCAAATCCATGGACCCCACGGTTTTATAAATCCCACCTCATACCCTGGGATTTGGAGACAAGCTGAAAACCATCAAATCCATGATAAACATAGCTCAACAAATAAAGGATTTCCTCAAATCCATAATGCCCAAAATCCCTAATAAATCCCAAATTTTTTAATTAGCAAATCCATGACAAAACTCTCGTTATAAAATCCTTGAAGTAAACGACACCTAATTTCTTTTGATAAGAACAATTGCTTTGTGGAAAATAAGTAGAAAATAAAAGTGGGTCAATAATACGACGGAGATTTGTAATTGTAATGATATCTAGACCAACATATATATGATAAAGAAATAGGGGTGACTCGGATCCAACGATCTGTAAGCATGTTTTTTTTTTTTTTTTTTTTTTTACCAACGGTTTTCAATTAAATATACTACCTACGACTGCACTAGTGCCTATTGGCTAAATGTTACGCCTCCAAATCATAATCATTTATATAATCATCAATTATTGGACTCAATGGCAATTGGCTAATTGCTATGTTTACAAGCTGCACCGCTAAAGTTTCAATAAAGTTTCCCGTAAAAAAAAAAAAAAAAGTTTCAATAAAGTTAATCAATGTTGGCCGTTTAGTGGGCGTACTGCGCCTAATTTTCTAATGCCACGCTATTTGTTCAACCCACTTCTCCGGGCCAAATGTTTGAACCTAGAACGTATTAGGCGGATAATAATGATTATTGAGGGAGTGGCCCCCGTGACCTACGCTTATACGCTCAAGTTAGTGCGATATAGAAATAAGTGTAGAGCAAGGCCTTATGTGGTCAAAGGAGGAAGGGAGAGTAGAAGTCTTTGCTGGTAGGGTTTGGACCTCCTTGTATAAGGGTTTGGGGTCCTCATTGAGAGGGCTTGGACTGAAGGTAAAACACCTTTGACGCGCTTGGCCCATTGATAACGTGATAGTTTTTCGTATTAGGCTTATTAATCATCAACTCGTCAAAATCACCAATCCGATAACATGAATCAAACAATCATGAATTATGGAATCCAACAACATCTATTGTGTTAAAATGCATCGGTAGGCCTATAGTTTGATTCCAGCCCCTACACCTCACCACATATTCCCAATGTTGGTTAGAGTTGCGGCGCCGGGCAAAAGAGACGATCAAGGAAACAAAGGAGAAACATTGACATATACAATATATATAATGGCAAAATATGGGTTGGAATTTTTCCATTTCAAATTCCGTGGCTCGAGAGTAATTTTAGGAAGGTTATTTTTGTCATTGCACCCAATTCATGTTTATATATTAAAAATGTTATCATTAGAGTTCAAACCTTTGTCACTTGAATAAAGAAAGAGCATTATAACCAACTAGGCTACATTTTATTTATTGTTATTTCTTTGATTGAACTCTAGGAATATGTTTGGTGATGATACTTCTATATTTATATTTTATCTTAAGTTACTTATATTTTATAGAAAGAAATTAGTTTTGAAATCGGAACTCAAGTAGTATTGATTCAAACATTAATATTAAATTGTATGTGTTGTTTAGTTCAGACAAAATATAGAAGTGTAACCAAAACATGGACCTTTGTGACGAGTATGATCATTTTTTCTGACAAATCTACACTTTCAAATTCCTGAGAGTGATTCTAGGAAACTCTTTTTCGTCATAGTGCCCAATTTTTCTTTATATTATGTATAGATTTGTGACAAAAAATTACTATATTTGTCACAAAGATCCATGTTTTGGCTACACATATGTATTTTGTCTAAACTGAACCACACATACAATTTATTATTTAATGTTTGAATCAATGTTACTTGAGTTCCGATTTCAAAATTAAGCACTTTCTATAAGATATAATAATTTCAGTTAAACTACCTTTCCAACTTGGTTGAAGAAACTCTTTCTATGAGATATATTCAATGTTTTAACATATTCTATTTCAAATTTCGTGAAGCGAGAGTGAAAATAAGAAGAGTATTTTTATCATCATAATTATTATCTATTTCATATGAAAAAGTATCAATATCAAGATTTGAACCATGGTCTCTTCAAACAAAAACAATAATCACAACCAATTACACTAAACAAATTTATTTTTATCTTCGTAAATTGTAAACATGCACTAAGCGAAGATTTGAAAAGCAGAGGACTTTTCACGGTTAGCTAACCTATTAAATTTTCTGATAAGCAAAGTTTAATACGTGATTTATAATTTTTACAACCTATAAAATGATGGATAATCATAAAATTGCAACACAAATTTCATTGCTTGAAATATTGCATATCGAACTACAGTATTGAATATGCAAAAGCGATGTAGAATTATTTAAATTAATATGAATTTTCAAAACTAATACGAAATAATAATATTTTGTACAAACTATAGGTGACTGGTTCTCTAAAATTTCAGCCTGGTTAACTGCTAAACGTTAACATATAATGAGTTATAATTAACCTCATTATATAATTTTTACTCTTTACAAGTATTAATTTAATCTTAATATTTTTTATGTTTAAAATATTTTATGTATGATTTAGAGGTATAATTACTCAAATATAGTATTTCATCAGGTAGTCAAAATTTAATACTCGGTGCATTTATGACTGTTTTTATCTTGGTGTTGTGAATATGTAGAAACTTAATTATTATAATGCATATAACTATACCTAGGCACATGATCGAGCTAGCACGTCACAGTTAGAGCATACCTTGAAGACAGTGTATATGGATCGGCCATGTACAAACATTAATGCTTCATGGGTTGTACCAGACTTAAACTTCAAGGGCTCGCGGACAAGTGCGAGCACCACACATTCTATATTGGTGAACTCATGTTTTATGGAGAAATGCGCCATTTGATAAAATTAAAACAAAATATTCTAAAAATAACATACAAAATTTGAATTAATGAGTAGTTTCTTACATCAACGTGTGACGGCTCATATTCTAAAAGGTTTATAAAATACATTCATTTTTTATTTGGAGACTCAAATATTTTTCAATGTATACAACTAAAAATTCATTTATAAAAGCTTTCTTGATTAACTTCATAGTTGGAAAGTATTTTTCACAGTTTGCAATAATAACAAACAACGTCAACAATAACTTTAGAAGCAAATAAAGTGAAAAAGAAATAGGGATTTAGTATTTCTTTGCAAATGTGTGTGTGTGTGTGTGTGGGGGGGGGGGGGGATTTTTTGGTCTAAAATCCAAGGTTTTACCAACATTTTTTAAAATCACACAATCAAACGACCTGTTAGTATTTTTCAAAAATGTTAGGTTAATGTCTATTTTTTATTCAAAATTTTTTTAGATTCTTTTATATTATCCAAACCTATTAGAATTCTATTAATAAGCCAAATTTTTCATAATGCATCAAAATATTAGCCATTTTTACGTTATCGTTAATAATTTTGTAACTCTTTTCTTATTTAAAATACTAAAATTTTGGAATGTTGACCTTCATATGTCTCTTCAAAGTCAGTATCATGTTGTCAAGTCAATATTACTAACATATTGTTTACTTGAAGTTAACATTTGGCTAATTCTTAGTTGTTCGATAGGTTTGGATAATTTAAAAGAATCTGAAAAAGATTTGGATAAAAAATAGACATTATCCAAAATATTATGTGTATAATTAAGATAGAAAACAATCATTTCATGCATTTCAAATCATCTATTATATCCATTATTATATATCATATTCCTCGATAAAATTCTTCCAGCCAACGGTTCGAGCCTTGTGCTAGTTTGGGGAAGAAAGCAAAAGGCAGAGCACCGAAATTTGGATCTGATTGGAGATTTTTTATGGGTCTATTTAATTAAAAAAAAAAAAACTAGAAGGATGATTTGATTCCCCGTTTTTGCTTGTCCTTTTGATTGGCTTCCACGGCAGATACCACTGCTCAAATCACGGGCAGCCGAATCTTTGTCTGGCACCCCAATTGCATCATTACCCTCTCCACTCCTCCAATCATTGATTGCTCTCTTCTCTCCTCCAACCTTCTCCCAAGCAGCACCACTGATTAGAGCAGCAGAAGCCACGGTGTGTAGTGTCGATGAGATCGGGTTCAGGTGCGCCACAGCGTGATTGTCCTCACGTCAAACATCTAAGTAGGTCGTTCCTACGGAACATCCGATAAAATTGGAACATCTAGACAGGGCACAACAATTCACAAGCAGTTTCACTTCCATTTCCAAAAGTAGGCTAGGCTAGGCTAGGCTAGACGGGCACGAAGCCATCCTACCCCTTGGCTCTCTGGCTTGACCTTTCGAATTCTTATCCACAAACTTGTGTTTAATCCTTCTGTCCTTCTCTAACATTCACGGTCGCCAATGTGTCAAAAACAAACTTCACCCTGATAACTCGAGTGTTGGGAGAGATCACAAACTGTAATGCTACCCACATTCGTTGCTGCTGCAGGAGACTGACCGACTTTTTTCTGTTACCTACGGCCTGCTGATAGTTGAAAAGTGGAGGAGACTTGCATTGCAATTTGCATACACATCTCCATTACATTGATCTCAACAGGATGTGAGTTGTAAAAGCTACCCACATGGGTATTGGGTTCCACCACTGGGAAAACTCAACAGGAGCCACAACATTTTCAACTCGCCACGTCTATCACTTTGGGAAGTTCAAGTTTTTCATTCTTAACCTCCAACAATACTCATAAACCAAGCATCTGGAAACCGGTCCAAGTTTTTCATTCTTAACCTCCAACACAGATCACATTGTGCAACTGTAGATTCTCAAAACATTTATCAGAAATGTCTTCCCGAAGATAAAGGGCATTGAAACATGACTACCAAACTCTAAACCACTACTAGTTGTGAAGATGTACCAGACAAGCTGGTCCTACTGATTCAATCTCCAACGATAGAGCAAGGCATCACGATATCAATCTCACTAATCCAATTTCTGATACGATTTTACAAACCCTAATCACGTAACTATTAACTGAAGCAAAATGATGAACGTTACCTTGCACCTTAACCCAGTTCCTCCCCGAACAAATTCTCGTTATAGAAGTGAAAGATATGGCATGATTCTTAGTATAGATCACCTAAATCATTCGAAAATGCGCAGTCTTGGATACACGATGTCGAAGAAGAGAAAGAGGACATGAAAATTACAAACTGCATTGCGGCATCCCTTTACTCCCAAGGATGAAAATTTAAGTCCGAATGAACCACAAGAATAGCTGAGCCCAAAAGCTGAAAACGAGAGATTCTACTACCTAAGCATGCTTGTTATTATTCTGGGAGAGATTTTCAATCCCTGCCTTTCGGTACGTGCATAAAAACAACACATATCTTCTTTGAGTCTTAGACCACAAATCCCCGAACTTAAAACTTTCTTCAGAAGCAATACCTCATTTTTCCTTGGATGCTGCTGGTAGGATGTTGTCGGGAAGAATGAGCTCTGGCGGAGTTTCACGGACGACGCCCAACATCGAGTCATACTCCTCGTCGCGATTTGCAAACTTCTTACGAAGCATCTTCTCGAACTCAATCTCGTCGAAAGGCTTGGCATTCTCAGCTGCATGGACCTGTGCAAGATTGGAGTAATTGGCAGCTGACTCTGCAATGAAGGCCATCTCCTCATCAGTCAGCTTCCGCAGAAACTTTGCAGGATTTCCTCCCCATACCTGCATATGAAGGAAGACAAGAAGGGAAACACTAATTCAGGTTTCCTGATGGATGACACTGTATTATGGGTTCCACTACCTGTTCACAGTCGATGTAGGAAATAATCATAAGCAATGGGCATTATCAAAAGTAATGGTATGTCAACTAACCAACCAACACCTTCGGAGTCGCTTTTATTCTCCTTGCATCACTACAGTGCGACAAAGTTCGCTATCTTTTACTTAAGCAGAAATGAATGAGCACTTCGACTCTGTTTGATTCAATTGAGTGGCAGATGTTGGTAACTAGAGTTAATCTAGTAAGTAGTAACTAACTTCTCCAAATGTACACTTCTAGCCTTTACCTTCTCACAATTTCTAATTCTTTCATTTCTCTTCTACTCCAAAACCTTGTGGATGAATTACAGTCATTTTACAAAACTAAAATAAATAAACAATTCCATATACGCTAGAGATCTCAATAATTGTGGCTCCGTTTAATTATTTCTTAATTTTCACTTATTGTCTATTCTTTTAACACACTTCCACTTCTACTATTTGTTATTGTCGACCATATCTCCAAAAGACACCGGTTGAATCACACAAAACCTTCATCTTGTTGATTAAAGAGATAAAAACTATCCTGTCCTATAACCATATTCTAAGAGAGAGGCAGAGAGAGTTTGGGTGAGGCAAAGCTATGAAGCGAATTCGGCACTTGTACCTCTCCAGCAGGGATCCTTGTATTCTGCCTCACAAGGGCTCCAGCTGCAACCATTCCATGTTTCTCTACAACCACACCGTCAAGAAGTGTGGCACCCATACCAATAAAAGCCTCATCCTCAACAGTGCATCCATGTAAAACAGCACTATGACCTGCTCAATGTGAGTCCAGGATTATTTTGTGGTTCAATGGTATGAAACCTGAGAAAGGCTGGATAAACAAAAGGAAAATAACAATTTCTCACCTACAGTGACATTGTCTCCAATGATAGTTGGAAGCACTTTCCCAGCAAGATTAGACTTTGCAACATGCACAAGAGAGTTATCTTGTATATTAGTTCCAGACCCAATGCTGACTCTGTTCACATCACCTATCAACAAAGAAAATCAGCATTACATATTTATGGGACTCCCCAAACGACAGGTGCTTAAAGGAGTTTCATTGTCTAACTGGAACTTAAGCAAGAGAAATCTCCTACACAAATGGTGGTTAAAGGTGAAATCTTCACCTCTAATAAGGCGAAACGGCAAATATGATATTCAGATGGACATTCTTTTGACACAGAGTGATTACTGATCCATATTCTAGTACCATTACCATGCCAATTGAAGACAGCCCAACTAATAATTAAGGATTCACAGTGAATCTGAACAAATAGCTTGAGTACATTTAGCATGACGAGCAATGGTTTCTATACACCCAAGAATCGAATATGAACATGTTACTTGCAAAGGACCAGGCATCAATGAAGACCAATTAATAACCTCAGCAGAAAACATCATGCACACTGCATTGATAAGAGTAAAACATTACCTCTCAGGACGCATCCATACCAAATGGATGATGCCCTCCCAACTTGAACATCCCCAATGATAGAGGCACTAGGGGCCACAAATGCACCCTTATCGACAACAGGTACTTTATCGAATAAGTTCATCAGTGTTCGATGTCTAGACACTGAAACATAAAAATGGAGTGTCACATATAATTAAAATAAATTATTTAAGTATACTTAATAAGCAGTTCAGCGACCAGATAATCAAACATCGCATCCAGCCACAAAAAAAGCAGGATTACATATGGCTGCATGGAATCAAACAGTTATCATTAGGCTTCTGCCAACGCATAACATCCATCATCATTCCAATTCTACTCGCAAATCAGGGGGAAAACAACTTTTCAAACACTGATCTAAAACCATCCTACCAACTTCACTTGAGTTCGACACAGAATCACAACCATGAAATTTCCTTCTTTCGCCAAGACGACCTAGGGATATCTCAAGTACGTTGCACGAATTTAGTTAAGCTATCTACAGTCCTAGAATCACTACATCAAATCTTCTCCACAGTGAAATTGAAGTCCAAAATCAAAACCACACAGGGAAAGTACATCGATTGCGATGGAGGAAAATGCTCAATTAAGTCAAAAGAACGAAATGCCATAGGCTTACAGTTCCGATGGCACAAGAAAAACACATTTCTCCAACTTCAACGGCACAATAAAACAGAAAACAATAACCAAATCGGAAAGAGCAGCGGGAGGCAGATAAAAAATTTATGAATCGGCGCACGGATCTAGGCTTTTAAAAGAGTAAAAGCCCGAACGGCAGCTCGCCGTCGGCGCTTCACTTACGCTGTTCTTGGAAGGCGTGGGTGCCTTGGAGGCGGCAACCGAGACGATCGAGAGCCTGTCCGGTCTCCCGAATCCAGAATCCCACGGTGTACACGGCCTTTCCGAGAGTCCCCATCGGCTTCCTCCGGTCTCCTGATCGCCGGCCGGCTTATAAGGGTTTTGGAAAATGCTCTCTTTTCTCCCTCTCTCTCTCTCTCTCGACTGTGTTCGGGAAATGATAGTTTTACTGCGACTGAGGCCAAGAAGTTCGCTTGGAGAAGGAGGGCCAAAAGGCCTTTTCTGAATGAGTAAAACGAAGCCGGTTTAAGTAACAGTGAGGAATAAAACGACACGTGAAAGGCGCCGTTTAGGTGCGAGTTTTAGTTACTGAGGGTTAAAAAAATAATCTGCGTAACTTTCCGTCGGACTCACGTATTTGCTGTTCATCTCGTCGGCGTTGTTTGGATTCCCGTCTCCGTCTCTCTGATCTCTCATCGAATCGAATCTACTACGTAAGCTCGCCGAAAACCTAGAAATCATCCTTATTTCGTCTGATCGTCGGTTTAAAACGTGGAGTCAGCAAATGTAGCTTTGAAAATACGTCCTAATTGTGTGGATTTCGTCGATCTAATGTCACTAAATCGAGTTGCTGTTTAGGTTCATCAGAACCTGTTAGACTAGCTCGTCCAAACAACGCATCAGAGAATCTAGAGTAGAAATCTATGCCCTTTATGCTAATGCAGTTGATCTACTTGTGGCCAGTAGCTAGTCTAAGTATTGGAGCACAATTGAGATTCATGGAGCATCATGACCATACTGCTTGAAGTCATTGGCTGATCATTTGCTTCCATGTTTGTCTGTTTATGTCGGTTTCAAGTTTCATATATTGCTACTGGATGATCATTTGGTTCGACTCTTGATATGAACAATGTCTTATGCAAGATGCTGGAAAAGAGGGAGGTTTATGTTGATCTGATGACGACTTAAAGTCGGTCGCTGGAGATTTATTTCTGTCTGTGGCTTCTGCAGGTACTCCATAACCAAGGCGCTCGGTGTGGCATTTCTTATGACATTTTTATCCGTATTCGATGTTCCTGTATTCTGGCCGATACTCCTATGCTACTGGATCGTCCTGGCTTTCCTTACAATGAAGCGCCAAATCATACACATGATCAAGTACAGATATGTTCCTTTCACTGTTGGAAAGCAGGTAAAGGAAGAACCTTTCCCCGAATCCTTTCTCTTCTCATTTTCAACTTGAACCCAGCTGCTTGATTCCTTTGATTATCTTCACCTAAACTCACCGACTTGGCTCCATGATTCTTGCACAGAAATATGGGGAGAACCTGCACTCTCCAACCAACAGGAGACTAATGGCGACTGAAGAGTTTCTCTTTGTGACAATGCTGGACTACCTTCCATGGCTGGTGTTCTCGAAATATAAACTCCTTGATGCCAAGTAGATAGTCAAGTCGATTTTTTCACGATTTAAGAGGTCACATTCTTGTTCCTCTCCTATTCTTTCATATTGGTTAACACAATATGTGTTCTGCTTTAGCATTAGATTCATTAGAACATACCTTCCCCAGTTATTTCTCCTTCAATCACTGTATCCTCGCAAATGGAATCGATTCTCAATGCGGTATTCTTGATCACCAAACAAACCTTGCTCTTGTTTCAGCAGCCAGAACATGTTTTGAGCTGTCAGTTTTCTCTGTACATTTGAATGATTATGAGGGAGCCACCAGAGAGACTTCCCATTCCTGGATTAGGTTAATGTGTTTGTTTAAGCTGCATTATCACTTGCATGATTGTCTGCATAACCGGTGACAACTTGGGAGAGGCTAAGGCTATGGTGGTTCGGGTTTACCTAAGTTTCGACCATCTCTAGTCGTAAAGAGAAGGAAAAAAGAGTTGAATTGAGGCTACACTACAGTCTGGTTCAGCTAGCTAAGCTGGTGAAGAGAACTAGAAGGTCGATTTTGAGTTGAGGGGGGGAAGAATCAAAGACGCCAGACGAATTACACTAATCATAAAGGCTTAATTGGTTCAACTACTCTCCAACTACTTAATAAACCACTGATAAAAATAAATAAAAAATCTCCAGTAGAAATGGGTAATCGTTGAGTTCACTCGACTTTGTCCCTAACAAACACCCACTGGTTAAAATATTAATCATGGTACAACATGGCGTTAGCAGGCTTATAGGTTTATTATATAATTATAATTTAATTAGTTAATTAATTAAAAACAAGGATCATATCTTGTATCACTAAGCTCCTAGCCACAATTTGACACAATAATTCTTCGAAATAAACACATATAATTCATTTGTTTTTTCTCTTAAACGTGGCCAGCTAAATCAAGTCGTGCGCCCTCTCTCTCCCTCTCTACTCTCCTATACATTAAAAAAGCCATGAAATTTCCTTTTTGTACCGGTTCTCTGAGGCAACACCCCACCCGACCCAAAGAAATGGGGGACAGAACATTCGTAGTGATATTCTTCTTCTGGGCTGCCCTCACAATCGTCACCCCAATGCTGGTTCTCCTCTCAGAATCCTCCAAACAAAGCTTGTTGCTCTCCAATGGTGGTAAGTAACACTAACACGAATAATCGAATGCAAACTCCATTCCTGATCAAGACCCATTTCTGACGTGGTTTTCTGTTCCTTTGTTGCTGGTTTTTTACCCTCTCAGAGGCTGTGCGGATTGCTGAGGTGGTGAAGCCAAGGAAAATGATGGGATACGCTTACGAAGCAGCAGAGAAGAAGTGGAACAGTACAGCTTCTGGGAATGTTTCAGCTGTACCAAGTGAAGCTCCGCGGCCTTCCTTTGAAGAAGCTGATGATGGAGATTATCACCCGCCGAGAATTGAAGAACTTGTCGTTCCTGCTTCGGAAAGATTGGCTGACGACGAGCCATGAGAAGTCATAGTGTGGAACAAGAAGAAGAGGAAAGAAGAAGAAAAAAAAAACAGAGCTTTCGCAGGAGAGGCAGAGTTGGTCAAAGGTACTTTACTTGCACATTCTCTGGCCCTGTTTGAAACATTTAAGTCTATTGATGGAATCCAGAATCCATTGTCTAGGCTCTAGAGAGGGGGGGGGGGGGGGGGGGGGGGGGAATCCTAATTGGTAGTTGTAGGAACTGTTGTAGAATGTAGATACACATATGAAAACGAAATCGCAGTTTTTACGAGTTCATTACAAGTTGGTTTCATCTTTCAACAAATCAAATTGTTAGAAGAAATCCGAGAATATAATTCAAAACACTCTGCTTGTGAATTTTGTTTCCTCACCTTCTGGAAATTAGTAGATGGTAAAAGTTAAAAATTGCAGCAAGTGAGCTGATGATCATCTTGGCAAAAGGGCAGCTCCAGTTTTGCACACCATGGGGCTATTATCATATTCTTGTGGAAATAATGATGTGAGGATAGAAAAGATAGATGACTAAGCTGCATTTTGTTTGTTGGAGTGGAGATCCTTTTCTTGCTTACAACCTTTTTATCTTTGGCGTGTTGATGAAGAAAACTGGTAAGCAATAAGATGGGGTTGTGGAGAAATTCTTAACAGGGCTGGACCTTTGATCATTGCTCCCCACATTTTCTGGTCCACGTCGCCCTCAAAAACTAACTACTTCTTCGAGTTCATTTCTGCCATGTATACACGTAACAGGTAGCATTAGATCCTGGCTGTAGTAATAGAGTCGCTCGTTTATTGTTGTGAGTGATCACTCGTGTCGTGACAGGGATTAATGAAAAAAGAATCATCTCGGTTCACGAAAACATATAAACGAGTAGGAGAAAGCATCAGCACATTTTAAGAGCATATATTTGACATTAAAAAGTTATGAAGGACTTACAAGCGAACAACTTGAGTATCTCGCACGTTTTGATTTGATTGGTACTAATCGAACCGTAATTGTTGCATTTTCATTTCATCCGTTTACAGTCATTTGACAAACACTTCCTACCTAACATCAGTAACATGTGATCCAAGACCAATTTCACCAAACACCTCACCATCCTCTTTCAACTTTCAAGTATCTCCGCTCCTCAACTCATTCTCTAAGCAATTTGCCAACTAACTTTCCAACTTTCGCCACTCCAACAGCACCAATCAAGTAATAAAATGTTAGGCACTGAACTCGATCTGAGATGTTTATTTCAACAGAGTCCCAACTACATTAGCATTACACTGATTCAGATCACTCTCCTGTAAGATTACATGGAAAAAAGTAAAAACTTTGAAACAAACCCACATCATAAACTGACCCCCTGGCCCTCATTATTTCTGTCACAACGCACAAATCTTATTTCCAATGAGAACTTCCAGTTCCAGCTTACAGCACAATCAAACGAACTGATCCAGGTATTCCTCCACAGTCGTGTACTTGACATCCGGGTAGAGCTCAGATGCTTCGACTCCCCATGCCGGGTCGATCTCGAAGTTGGTCTGATCCCCTTTCACAAACACAGAGTGGCTGATCGACAGTATGATGTTCACCGGAAATGGAGACTCTGCAATGACATTCGTAAACAACCCAATGAAACCCCAGTAAGCTAAAACTCGAGATCAGTAACAAAGGCAAAAAAAAAAAAAAAAAGATTTTTCAGAGCAAAGACCTTGGATTTGCTTGAGAAGTAGGTCCTCTGGAACATAAGTTTTCTCCAGAGTCTTGCCAATCTTCTTCTCCCACAGAGCCACCAGCTCGTTGAAGGAGTAGACATTCTTTGGTGGCTTGATGATGAGGGTCTTGTTCAGAGTTCTCGGATCGTCCACCGCTCGAATCGTGTAGGCTGCAATGTCGTCTTCCTTGTTGAACACAGCTGCCACACCACAACAATTTGAAACGCATTCTTGTTCATATTTCCAAATCAAACATAAGATAAAAGATTAAAGTTGAATTGGATTGTTACCTTTAGGATTACCATCTCCCAAGATGGTGACTTTGTCTCTGGGCGGAGAAGTGAGCCCCGGCTGAGCCAACGTCGGAAGGAAATACCCGGCGAAGAAGTTGGACGGCACGTAAGTGTAAGGTATCCCTGCAGCTTCAATGGCGCGCCGGATTCCGGCCTTGGTGTCAAACGCTGTCTTCGCCGGCTCCACCGCGTTCACGTGGTCCACGTCGTTCCCAAACTCCGACGGCAAGAACCTCTGATCCCATTAAAAAAAAAAAAAAGAGGGAAATTTCAAAATCTCACTTCTGTAACGATAGATTTGAGGAAGGGGGCGAAAAAAACAGAGGATACTCTGTTCCGACCTTGACATTGCCGGCCTCTTTAATGGCGGAAATGATCCTGGTCTGATCAGCAAGCTGCAAGCTTCCGACGGTGGATATCACCACATCGGCTTGCTTGATCGCCTTCACCATACTCTCGTGGTCGTAGAGATCACCCTGAAAGAAAAGGGGGGGAAAAGGTTCCGAGTAAGCTCAACATGCATTTTCACTAGGGAAATCAACCGAACAGTTGGAGTGCATAAGAGGGAGATGGTTTATCATCACATGCAACAGAGTGGCGCCGGAGGACTTGAAGCTGTCGACGAGCTTCCCCTTGACGGGATCGGAGACCGTGGTTTGCCGGACGAGGACGAAGGTGGGGTGGCGGGCTTTCAAGCTCGCTTCCACGATGAATTTCCCGATGTAGCCTGTTCCTCCGATGATCAGGATCTTGCTTTTAGCTGCCATTCTACCTTCTTTTTTTAGCTGTTGGGACTTGGGATTGTGTTGATGAAAGTTAGCTCAGTGTGTGACTGTGTATGACCGAGTAACGAATGGGCAGAAATTTATAAATGAGAAGAGATTGTTAGGTATGATTGGTGAAGTTTACCTTCTTTTTTTTTTTTAACCGTTGCATGTCTGTACATGGTCTTGTTTATCTTCTGACATTCACTCCTTGGTAAGTTTCATAACATTCAAGACAAATGTTTGACATTCATTCCTTAGTATGTTACATGACATTTTAACACTTGTTGAACATTCATTCCGTAAATGTAGCGAGTGAGCAGTGAGTGATTTTATACGAACTTGAGCGGGTTTGGATCCACCCAGTGCGTGGTGTGTTGACATGGACTTGTTTGTACATATTTACTTGTTGGTTGGTTAATTTGGACTTTTGCCTAATATACCTAATACCCGTAGCTATGTAGAAGGGTATATAGGAGTCTGTTTTGCCGAACTCTAAACCTAAGAGGATTGAGCGGCTGCTTCTGTTTCTCTTGGGCAGCAAGATAGTGAAACCCTACCTGAGAGCTGAGCTCTCCGTGGACTAGTCCCGATCTTCGGGGAAACCACGTAAATCATCGTGTTCGTTTACTTTCCGCACTAACAAAGTTGTTATGGTATTAGAGCTGTGATGATTCAGTTTCGTTATTTGTCTTCATCATCATGAGTTTGACAGGCGAGGAGACTAGCGGCGGCAAGACGGTTGTCTTTACTGACGATGCGATCCCGATCAGCTCTCCCCTCTACCTGCATCCTTCGGAAAATCCCGCCCAATTATTTGGCGGTGAGTTGCTCAATGATTCAAACTACGGTGAGTGGGTTAATGACATCACCGAAACTCTCATAGCCAAAAATAAATTGGCTTTCGTTGATGGCTCCCTTCCTCGCACCAAAGCTGGCTCGGCGCTTCGTCAGGATGCTTGGGATCGGTGTGATGCGACCGTGAAGGGGTGGCTGAAAACGGCTATGACAAAAGAGGTTCGCAACAGTGTGCAAACGGCGGGGACAACTCGCGCCATATGAGCTTATTTGCAACGTCGCTTTAGCCGGAGCTCCGCGCAAAGGGCTTACGAGCTGCGACGTAGCCTTAGTAATCTTCGACAAGAAAAGTTGTCAGTTTTGGCATTCTACACTAAGCTTTACTCGACTTGGGACGAGATGCAGTCGATAGGGGGAATGCCTCGTTGCAGATGTGCTGGCTGTACATGCGGTGGATGCTCTTGTGATTGGGTTCGTGCTTCTCAAACACAGCAAGATACAGAGCGCCTGTTTGAGTTCTTGATGGGCCTGGATGATGCATATTCAGTGGTCCGTTCTCAAATCCTTGGCACGAGGCTCACTCCTACGCTGGCGGATGCTTATCAATTGGTTTCGGCTGAAGAACAGCACCACAACATCACCACCTCGCGACGTCCAGCCGTTGACACCGCGGCCTTCCAGACCCTTGCTGAACGCGAGTCACGCGTGGACGGGGACAAGCCTCGATGCTCCAACTGCAATCGGCAAGGTCACACCCGTGAGCAGTGCTACAAGCTGGTTGGCTATCCGCCAGGACACCCACGGGCTAAATCCATGGATGATCGTGCAGCTCCCCGACGTCCAAAAGCAGCGCATGTAGAACCAGATGTGGGTTCGCCCATCCCGGGTTTGACCGCCGCCCAATTTGCTCAGCTCAAGGAATTCCTGTCTTCCGGCTCTACTGATTCTCCGTCGACTCCCACGGCACACATGGCTGGTAATCATTCTGAACCTGACATGTGGTTAATAGACTCAGGTTGTAATGAGCACATCGTTCCTGATATTCGTTGGTTAGATACGGTAGAAAAGGTTGATAGACCGTCTCAGGTTCGCATTCCCGACGGGTCGGGCATTCCAGTTCAGGCCATGGGGTCAGTTGTTTTTAGCGAGGCCATACGACTGAAAAGGGTCTTACACGTTCCTGCTTTCAAGTGTAATCTTCTGTCAGTTAGTCGGTTGGCATAGGATCACAACGTGGCGGTAACTTTTTTGCATGATTTTTGCATGCTTCAGGTCTTACCTTCCAAGACGCTGATTGGAGTGGGATGACTTAGAGACGGTCTTTACTACCTTCCTCGGTTTGGAGCGTCTGTGCCGCGGCAAGCTCACCGGGTTGAAAAGTCTGTGGAGTCCTCGGCCTTGTGACATACACGCCTAGGCCACCCTTCTTTAGATAAATTTGCCGGTTTACGAGACATTTTGGGTTGTGGTGTTTCTTCTCGAGATTCACCGCCTTGTGATTCTTGTTTGAGAGCTAAACAGACTCGATTGCCGTTTAGTTTGAGCACAATAAAAACCAGTGACAGTTTTGAGTTGTTTCACATGGATATTTGGGGTCCCTATAGTACGCCGGCTTTGGATGGTTCTCGTTATTTCCTTACCATTGTCGATGACTATAGTCGTTCCACTTGGGTTTATTTAATGAAGTTTAAATCTGATGTTGAGCGGTATCTCAAATTTCACTGTGAGTTGGCACGTACTCAATTTGGTCACACAGTCCGCCGGATACAGGCAGATAATGGTCCTAAATTTCAGACACTTTCTCTTCAGGATTATTATGCGGAGCATGGTATGATTTTGCAGACCAGTTGTACCGACACACCACAACAGAATTGGGTGGTTGAACTTAAACATCGTCACCTCTTGGACACAGCTCGAGCTCTTATGTTCCATGCCGGGCTGCCTATTAAGTTTTGGGGGGATTGTGTACTGGCTGCCACTTATTTAATCAATCGCCTGCCATCCTCTGTTCTCTCCAGGAAGACACCGTTTGAAGTTCTCCTAGGTAAACAACCTTCCTACTCACACTTGCGTTTGGATGCCTTGCCTATGCTAAAGACACGCACCACGGACTCGACAAGTTTGCGGAGAGGGGGAGAGCAGGTATCTTTCTTGGCTACCTAGGAACTCAACGAGGTTACAGGATATATGACCTACGTTCCAAGAAGGTCCTTGTGTCTCGTGACGTACAGTTCGTGGAAGACATTTTTCCCTTCAAGCTAAAGATTACAAGCACTACCTCACTTCTCTCGGCTCCTTCACGTCCAGCCATGCATGCACCCTTACACGAGGAAGTTTTGCACGTGGATGAAGAACCATTTGATCAAGTGGGATCATCATCTTCTCCTACTTCACAGGAAGACATGCCAACGTCGCCTACGTCCGCGAGTTCACCGGCAGACTCCCCGGTCTCTTCACCACTCCCTGCAGGCTCCTCGGCGGCCAATGAGGATTTGGACGAGCTGTTGGACGACGGGGAAGCTCCCCCCACTAAGGTCGCTGCACCACCCGCGCCACGTCGGAACCCGCCGCGTGATCGCCGACCACCTGGCTCGCTTGCTTCTTATGAGGTAGAACTTCCTGATACTAGTTCCCACAATGTTCGATTTCCCATTTCCAATCATGTTCATTATCATCGTTTTTCCCTCTCTCACACTGCTTTTCTTGCTGCCGTGGATCACCTTTTTGAACCTCACACTTACGCGGAAGCGGTGCAATTCGAGCATTGGCGGGAGGCGATGAAACGAGAGATTTGAGGCTTTGGAAGCGCAGGGTACGTGGATTCTGGAGTTGTTGCCGCCGGGGAAGCGAACTATTGATTACAAGTGGGTATACAAGATTAAGTTCAAGCCGGATGGTACAGTAGATCGCTACAAAGCGTGCCTTGTCGCGAAAGGGTTTACGTAGCTTGAGGGCATAGACTTTCATGACACTTTTTCCCCAGTTGCAAAACTTGTGACAGTTCGAGTGTTGTTGGCGGTTGCAGCAAAGCAGGGGTGGCCTTTGCACCAACTCGATGTGAACAACGCTTTCTTACACGGAGATCTTGAGGAAGAAGTCTACATGAGGGTCCCGCAAGGGTTTACCAGGGTAGGAGACAATCGGGTTTGTCGTTTGAGGAAGTCGCTCTATGGTCTACGTCAGGCTTCGCGGAACTGGTACACGAAGTTTATCGACGCACTTTTAGAGTTTGGGTTTACTGTTTCTCGAGCAGATCATTCACTCTTCCTGTTCCGGAAGGCCAAGGTCTTTGTTGTAGCTCTCATTTACGTCGATGATGTTGTCCTGACCGGCAATGACCCTGACACTATTGACCGAGTCAAGCATTTTCTTCATCAACAGTTCAGCATCAAAGATCTTGGACCTCTCAAGTACTTCCTGGGAATAGAAGTTGCTCGGTCTCCTGCAGGCATAGTCCTTAGCCAGCGGAAGTACACTCTTGATATACTTGCTGACTCAGGTGCATCGGCAGCACGACCTAGTGGATTTCCGATGGAGCAAAACCATGACCTTACTCAACCGACAGATGAGCGGCACGATGATGTCGGTGCCTATCGACGTCTCATAGGTCGTCTTCTCTACCTCACGATCACCCGTCCGGACATTGCTTACTCAGTCAACCTGCTTAGTCAATTTGTGCATTCCCCCAGTCCTAAACACATGGCCGCGGCTTATCGCATTCTCCGGTATCTCAAGGCAGCTCCTGGTCAGGGTCTATTCTTTCCTTCCGATGGCCCCATGGAACTTGTAGCATATAGTGATGCTGATTGGGCTGGCTGTCAGTTTAGTAGACGTTCCACCACTGGGTATTACATTCAGCTCGGCAGAGCACCCGTCTTCTGGCGCGCCAAGAAGCAGCGGGTTGTAGAAAGATCGTCAGCAGAGGCTGAATATCGGGCCATGGCTAGCACTACCAGTGAGATAATATGGCTTCGTCACCTCCTGACCGAGTTACAGCTACCACAGACAGTCCCTACTGTTCTTTACTGCGACAATCAAGTTGCGCTTCACATTGCAGCTAATCACGTCTTCCACGAGCGCACTAAGCACGTGGAAATGGATTGTTACTTCGTTCGTGAACGTGTAGGTTCTGGTGAGATACAGCCACGGAAGATAGGGACGCATCACCAGTTAGCTGATATCTTCACCAAAGCATTGGGCACTGAACAGTTCCACCAGCTGCTATCCAAGCTGGGCATTTGTGATCTGCATGCTCCAGCTTGAGGGGGAGTGTTGACATGGACTTGTTTGTACATATTTACTTGTTGGTTGGTTAATTTGGACTTTGCCTAATATACCTAATACTCGTAGCTATGTAGAAGGGTATATAGGAGTCTGTTTTGCCGAACTCTAAACCTAAGAGGGTTGAGCGGCTGCTTCTGTTTCTCTTGGACAACAACATAGTGAAACCCTACCTGAGAGCTCAGCTCTCCGTGGACTAGTCCCGATCTTCGGGGAAACCACGTAAATCATCGTGTTCGTTTACTTTCCGCACTAACAAAGTTATTATGGTGCATGAAAAAGAAACTAACTCACACTTATCTTAACATGAGTAGTTGGGTGGATGGGTTGGGTGAATTAAACGGTACATTTCGAAGAACACATAATTCAAATTGTTTAAAGTTAAAATGAAAGAAATTTTCATGGAAAACAATCTTTAATTATGAGATGTGTCATTCAGCTCACAAAACTACTACCCATAATTGTTCACAAATTAAAAAAAAAAAAACAGTAAACATACGATTATTTGCTTCTCTCTAATTTTTCAGAGAGCCGGCCGTTGTTTTCCTTTTGGCAAAAGCATAAAATTAGATTTAATTGGACCTTGAATTGAGATGGGGAGGAATCAACTAATTTTGTACTGATTAAGCTTATAGGGTTGGGGAAACTTGTAGATGAATCTAGGCTGATTTGCAGGGAATGGTCAACAAATATTGTACTGATTAAACTTTTAGGGTTGGGGAAATTTGTACTTGAATCTGGGCTGTTTTGCTGAGAATGTTCAACTAGTTTTGGTGGGTAGATAGTCACCATCTTGATGGTTGGTTATCATTCATAAATGATGATAAATTATTCTTGTTTGGAGATTACGTCTGCACCAAAACCTCTGCTCCATTTAAGGGGAAAAAATTGAAGTTAAAAAAAGTTAACCATATACATAATTAGGAATTAATATTGGCTCGAATTATAAGCTAGTTTGGCTCAGCTTATAATTAGGAACTAATAGATTAGTTTGGCCCGAATTAAAAAAAAAATTCCTCAACTATAAGCTAGTTTGGCTCAGCCCATGTTTGGGCGTCAAATTTGACGATCAACGCTCTTAACTAACGGTCAACATGCCATATAATCAATAAAACAATAAAAATTCAAAATTTAATTCAAATTCAAATACATTTTCCAAGTATCTATTATTTACATTTAAAATAAATAACACGAACAAAACACCAAAATCCTGATCTACTACCGCTCTCTTCACTCGCCACACGAACAAAGTTGTGACTGGGGTCGACTGGAGGCACGATACTACGAAGAGCTTAGTCAAGTCATATGTTCCCTGGGCGAATTGCGTCGCTTGAACTTCCCAAGTTTACGGGATAAGAGGAGCCATCAGGATGGATTTCTTGATTCGAGAATTATTTATATATTAGTGTATTCCCGAGGAGCATAAAGTGACATTAGACATGTATCTATGAAAGGGGATGCAAATCAACGATCATGTGGCTTGAGGATGAATTTGCTAAACATGGGATGACTATGAAAGATTTGCAAGTGGAACTATAGATGATGTATGGAACCTCGTAAAAATCATCTTGTCATGGAGCATTTAGCAAATATACGACAGATTGGGTCGGTGGATGACTACCAATAAACGTTTCATAAGTTATTAAATCGTTGTTGTGGGTAAGCTAAAGAGCCAATTACGGGCTCGTACATAGGGGGATTGAAGCGGGAGATCTCGGCCTACATTACAACATTTGAGCCGCAAAATAAGGGAGAAGCTTCTCATCTGGCAAAAATTTGGGAAGAGAAACTCCGTTTGGAGCGTGGCCCATCAGTGGGTTCGTCGAGAGCGGCTCCTTTACTTGCTTTCGAGCCTATCGTGGCGCTGCCGCTAGGGATGTCACATTTCGCAACATGGCGCTAGAAGAAGCTGCCAAATGTCGCCAAAATGTATTATGCTATAGTTGTGATGAGTGTTACACTTATGGGCATCTTGCGCTAACGTAAATATATTCGTCATGATTCAAAATTTCGAAGAGGGAGACAAAGGAGGAGATACAAATAAAGCGCAATCTCGCAGACGAGATTGTTTAAGAGGCGAGGATTTATGCATTATATCATCGAAAGACTAATGTGGCCCATCACTTTTGACATCCTGATCGATATGCTCTTCCACGGGGCATGGGCATCCCCTCCCTCCAATCACGTGCAACCCTCTAATGCCACCCCTCCTCAGCCCTGCACCCTGCTTTCGAAGAAGAGTTCATCGAATTGAGTTTGACGAATAGTCGATTTGTCAAAACTCTTTAAAGATATCATCCTAATTGTAGATTTCCCGATTAATTGGGGAAAATTGACATTCCACTTTGTCATTTTGATCGGGTGGTTCCACGTTCATTAGTGAATCCATAGTCTATAAATGGAAGATATAACATTGAATTGCATGCAACAAAACCCTGATCACTTATTAACCTGTCTTCGCAATGGTGCTCATTTATTTATTCAATTAAAATCAGCACACTTTCTTACAGATCTCAACAACAACAACAACAAAGAAAACATTAAAGCAAAGGAGATACAAAAAAAAAAAAACAAAAACAAAAAAACAAAACTTGAAAAGAAAATGCACCAAATCAAGTTAAAACATACCACACCCAAAACTAAAAGGCAGGCTTCCTTATTTACAGATTTGATCTCATCGTCACTTTCTTCCTGCCTAAACTAGTGGGTGCTAATCCTCGGGTTGGTCGCGATGTGGAACTGGGCCGGATAACTGTTGGAGGCCCGCTCAATCACTGGCGGCTCGTTCAAGAAAGCCCAGTTGCTCCTCGTCCACCACCCTTCCTTCTTCTTCTCCATCATGAACCTCTTCAGTGTCTCCTCCTCTTCGCCCGCCGCCACCCTCTCCCTAGCCGCCGCTGCCTCCCCGACCACCGCCGGCAAAGACCTCGTTCTCGCCGGCATATTTCCCATCACCAACCGATCCCCCGGCGGCGACACGGACGACGGTGACCCAACATCCTGCGTAACAATGAAAAATACAATCAGTAGATTCAAGTTTTGTTAAAATGAATCGATCGACGTAAATTAGTATGAAAAAAGGATGAAGAGTGAAAGAACTAACGGCAGATCGAGGAGAGAGAGCCCTGAGGTGTTCGTCTTGGATTTTCTTCTTGAGATTCCAGTAGGCGTCGATCTCTTCTTTGGTCAGGGACTGATTCCTCTCGAATTTCGCTGATTTGGGAGGGGAGTCCCATCCTGCCATTAACGAACCCATTATTGATTTGATTTGATGATCTTGATCTTTCACCTCCAAATTCTGAGACTTGAGTTTCGATTTGTGACCCAAGCAGTTTATTGCTTGTATATATGGCCGAGATTATGGTGGGGAGTGTGTGTAGGCCCTATCTTCCACTTCCTTCCTTTGTTCTTATCACAAAATTTGTAGTATACAATCTTATCTTGTTTCCTATTTTTAATGTTTTCTCCCCCAAGTGATGGCGGATTTTGTTGTCATCGGAACAGAACAGAGAAGAAGTCGTATGTTGTCCAAGTCCGTTTCATGGTTGGCAGACGTGACGTGGCACTCGTTCCCCCGCTCTCCTATGACCTGCTTTCTTTGCCCACAGAATGGATTAGGCTGGTTGGTTTCGCTTAAAACAGGCTGCTAATTAGTTTTCTACAACACAGGCTTAACAGAACGTTTTGTTGTTGATTTAAGATTAATTGTCTTCCACTATGATAAGAAATATAAATAATTAAAATAAAAAATATTTAGCATCGCAAAGAAAATATTTATCTCCAGAAATTCGTGCTAAAAAAGAAGTTTTGTTTGTGTAGGTGAAGACAAAGAAAGGTCAATAGATAGATACGGTGATGTTATGCATTAGGGTTTAGGAGGAAGCTGGATGACTACATGTAGGGGTGGGCATTCGGTCGGTTCGGTTTTGAATGAACTGAAATTATGAATACTGGGTCCCCGAATTCTCCCAAACCTCAAACCGAATTCGCACCGAATTATAATTCGGTTCGGTCGGTTTAAACCGAATTATAATTTGGTTAGGTTCGGTTTTTCACCCAAAACCGAATTTGTGAAGCTACTGGTATTTTCTCACTTTTAAATTATTTTCACCCTAATATAAACAATAAATATCAATTATATGCATCATCAATGATAAAATCAAACTTTTCAACACATAAGTCATAAAACATTTCAAATATTTAAGTCTAAAAACAACTACAAACATAAAATCCACCATTTGGAGCTTGCAATTATAGTATTTCGGTTTTTCGGTCAAAAATTTGGAAATTCGGTTCGGTTGAAAGAACCCTGGTTTCCGAACTATCCATATTTTCCTTCCGGATTCCGAACCGAATAGCATTAATTCAATTTCGGTTCGGTTTAATTCGGTTTCGGTTCGGTTCGGGTTTACCGAGCCGTTTGCCCACCCCTAATTACATGCCATGGAAAGTGATAAGTACATGAAACCGAAACACTGGTCCAAGTCAAGTTTACGACGTTGACGTGTGCATGCATGAACATAGGATAACGTCAAACGTAACAAAATATCTTTGTCGAACCGCCATTGCTTCTGGGCTATTTACTGGGCCTATCGTTCTTAATTATCTGGGCTCAATGAAAGCAATGAAGGATCAGGGTTAGCAAACTTCCTTTCTTTTCTGTTGGGCCTTAATGCTTCCTACTTTAGAGTTTAGACGGCTGGGTATGCGCGAGTCATGACAACACCATATATCACAAGTTCACAACTATATCGTGATTACTTGTATTAATAATCACCGGGTCTACTAAGAATAGAAATAGTATTTCATTTTTATTATAATCATAACTATTATATTAATTTTGTGATAATTAGGAAAAAATGATTATGAAAAGTAATTATTACAACAATTAAATCATCGTAGGGTTATCTGAGGGTTGGATTCGTAGTATTACTCACTTTGTATGGTTGCATCGGTAGTGATCGACATTGGTAGTTGTCTTACATATGTACTAATTGTATTGGCACAAATTTAATATTGGATTAATTCTGGTGGTATTCATTGGATTGATATTGGTATTCATGTTGCCTTATTAAGTAATGTATTGTTGTGTCTAGTTAGTTTGATATTAATTCTGGTCATGTGCATCATTTCAGCGATCATCTCCGACCTGTACGAATGATATAGTTTACAGGATTGTTGCTTGTTGAGCCTCCATGATTGGGGTTGTTGGTTCTTGACATACCTAAAATTGAGATATGGTAACAGAAAACACATTACTCATTGAAGCAAGATTGGAACAATGGAAGATACTACCATTACAAAAGAGATAAACCAATACCAATTCAAGATAAGACGTAGCTCTACCACAAGAAACAAATTAGTGCTTGATAAACTCACATAAAGTCCAACCACTAGCTTGCATAATACTAGAACACTACCATTGCAATCTTACCAATGAACACTACCATTCCACGCCAAGCTACACATGTGGGAAGACAACTACCAAAGGGGTAGATCACTACCAATGCATACAAATCTCACCAATAGTCGATTCCGAAAAATGCTCGACGACAAGATCCAGAGGAGGTGAAATCAACCTCGTTGGTGCGTCGTGTTCAGACAAAGAGGGATGAACTGGGAAACGATAGAGAGCTGTTGAACCCCTCATCGATTCACCATCTGAGAAATAAACAGTCGTCGAACCAGAGAGAAAGACAGCGACGACGTCGAGGCTGGTATAGGCGGCCGACGGGACTAGTGCGGTGGGTGTGGTGGAGGCGGTCAATAAAGCTTGACAGAATCATCCTTCCTCTTTGATGTTGACGAAAGTTTGCGGCTGCGGCGAGTTTGGCTGGAGAGAGGGAGTAGAAGTAGGGTTTGGGTAGAATATATAGAATGATCAAGTGTAGTCTCTTTTTTGTTTCCTAAATTATCATAGAGCAATCTTAATCGCGAGATTAAAAAAAGAGAAAAGAAGAAAAATGGATAGTGGATATGATGTAGCCACGATGGCTAATATAATTTCAGTTACTGCCATAATGCATTCCGTTATACGGTACATTCACAAAAATGAGTGCACACTAATTTTAGGTATGTCGTATAACAGGTCCAAATAGGTTTGACTTTGTTACAGGTTATCACCCTATACCAGAGGGTGGTATATTTGATCATGAATTTTTACGCAGATTAATAAAATTACAATAGATTATAATTAACATGTTCTTTCTATGCAAACTTTTGAGCTAAAGAACAAAGGTGCTACAAAGTGTTGTGTACGGAATTTTTTCTCAAAACATATTATAAAATTAATATAATTTTGTACATCACAATTAATTCGTTCTATTTTTATACTATTTTGGGCTAATACCACTACAACACCCGAACTATCCGTAAAATGCCATTTGTGTCCTATTGTTTCCAATATTTCATATGTGTCCTGAACTATTATTCCGTTAGTGTTGACCAGAGTTGACCGTTAGTATTTAACAGAAAATTCAGTCATCGGTGACGTGGCATCTGACGTGGAATTTTCATTATCAATTTTCATTTAATAAAAAATAAAAAAATAGAAAAACCTCCCAATCTCTTCTCCGCGTCTCCTCCCGCCGTCTGATGGAACACTCTGCCGGGAGCCCTCTCTGGTAAGTCGCCATCAACACCCAGATCACCAATCGATCTAGGTCGCCACCACCTCCGCGTCCTCCACTCTACTCTTCGAACCCAGAAATCCGCACTCCCTTCCTTCCTCCCCACCCCTCCGTCTTCTTCCTCCTCCAAATCTCCAGCACCAATTCTCTCGATCCCGCGCCGCCGCCTATCCATTGCCGCCGCCAATCCAATCCACTTTCTCGCCACCCGATCCAAAGCCACAATTCTTTCCCGGACTCCCTCACTCTCTGCTTCGTCCCTCAGGTCAACAAGACCGAGATCCAGATCGACGGCTCCGTTGGAAGTCAGATCCAGAAATGGGTCGTCGTTCTCATCCACCCACTGCTCCCTATCCGATCGGCGGCCAGATTTGAGAGATCTTCTCCATTGTTCGTCGCTGTCGAAGAGAGGGGTGAGGGACAGAGCCCTCGTGGTTTCGCCGTTGTCGAGCGTGGCTACAATTATGGATCTTTTCGTGGAGCTTTTGATTGGGTCGATTTATTGGAGGAGGCAAAGGTGAAGGGGGTGTTTGGCGGCGGCGGTGGGTGGAGAGGCCAACGAATTAGTTGAGAGCAATGAGAGAAGGGCAATCGTCGGTGCCGGTGGAGGTGGGGGTTCACAGGGAATTCAAGGAGGACGGTCGGAGATGCAGATGTGGATCTGAGATGCTGCAGCGCCAGCTCATCGTCGCCATTGGAGGAGGAAGACTGCCCGATTGCAGAAACGAGTTATATTTGCACTCATCACTAATGGATTTGGTGATTGCTGGGATTGGAGAGGAAGATGAAGAAACAGAGAATGGGAGAAGAGGAAGATTGATACGGCGGGGAAGAGGAAGAAGCAGAGACGTGGAAATTGGGGAGGGGGAGCCATTATTTGTTTTTAATTTCTAAGAAATTTGTATTTTTTGTATTATAGTTATTATAATTTTATTTAAATAATTTTATTTTTAATTAAGTAATGACATGTCAATGAGGTGACATCTAGTGGATGCCAGTTTTCTGCCACATCTGCGAAAGTCAACACTAGTTTGACTTCCGTCAAGTTAACCGTTATCTTTAACGGTCAACGTAAGACGCCATGACACAAATGTCACAAACTCATATAGTTTAGGACACAGATGGAATATTGGAAACAATAGGACACAAGTGGCATTTTCCGGATAGTTCGGGTGTTGTAGTGGTATTAGCCTTACTATTTTTATAAAATAAAATAAGAATTCAAACCCAATAAAATATAAGAAAAATATTTTTTTTAATTTCATCATTTAGATATGATCCCACTCTAAATCCAAAGGTCAGATCTCGTTATATACGAATACATAACTGAATGGGATGCACCCAAGGTTGTCAAACCAGTTTATACCGTTGTGCAGGTTTGGCAAATGGCATGGTACGACCGGTGGTATAACCAGTTTGTGCCGGTTCATGCCGGTTTAAAAAAATGTGAAAACAATTAATATCTCATGTATTTAATCATATATAAAACATATTTGTGGACAATTTAGTTACAATCCAACAAATATCATCAACTTTTAACTATTACATTCATAAAATGAATAATAAATTAATTTTTTATTCATTATACTCATTAAAATGAAGTCATTTTACTTAGAATGCGTAAATCGATCATACCGGTCATACCGGTGGTGTCATGTCGGTTTCATGACCAACACAGATTGAACCAACTTCAACCGGGTGGCATGCCATTGACGTGACAACCATGGATGCACCATATGTCCGTATCCTAGGCCTTTTTGTGGAGGTTTATAGAACAAACATTTTTTTCTGGTGTGATAATAGAACAAACATTAATAATGAGTGCATATTTTACACGCCTGTACTATTACACAACCCACAAATTATTCTGTTTTTATAATTATTAAGTCTTAAACCGAGTCTAATCATCATTGGTTTGTTCATTTGTTACCACTATTGAATATAGATACTCAACCGATAAAGCAAAGGAAAAATCTATTTATGAAATATGCTATCAATAATCAATTGTTATATACTTTTTTATGAGGTGATATAAATTCACTTTTTAGATTTTATTTAGCATATTTGAATTTGAGATTTTCATGTTAAAGACTAATGATAGCAGCACTATTATCAAATCATTATTCGCATTCATTTATGATATACTAGCTAGCACCCGTGACACAATAATGATATAAATTCAACTAAACAAAACATGAATTGTCTCTATATATTCTTCGGATATAAATTGCTATTAATATAATGTGAAATCACAGACAAATTTAGCTATGGAGAGGAGTGGCTACCAAATTTTATTATTCTCTTGCGTTAACATTTTATTTTTATCTAGATAGGAAAATCTTGTAAAAAAAACGAACGAAAAAAAGATGATCGAGTATATTTGGTTGGACCATGGTTGTCACGCCGGCGGCCGTACCACTGGTTGAACCTGGTTCAACCTGTATGGGTCATAAAACCGACATGACACCCTTGGTATGACCGACATGATCGATATACGAATCTCCAAGTAAAATGATCTTATCTTAGTGAATTTAATTGATAAAAAGTCATTTATTATTTGTTTTATGCGTTAAAAAGTTAATTGTTGATGTTATTTGTTGGATTCAGGTACAAACATTTAGGTATATACGTTAAATGTCGTGTTTAAATATAATTATTTGTAAATTATTTGTAATATTAACTGGTATGAACCGGCACAAACCGGTATGTATCACCGGTCGAACCATTCTACTTGCTAAACCAGCACACTGGCATAAACCGGTTTGACAACCTTGGGTTGGAGAAAGATGGACAGGAGACCCATAGAAGTCAGCATGGTCAAACCGCAATGACCCTGAACAAGCACTCTTAGGCCGACACGTGTGCGAACCCACCAAGAAAAAACTACCGTCCAAGGCACGTAAAAACTAAAAACCACATAAATAATTAACCAGCAAATTTATCGGAGAAACAAAAGGAAAAAAAGAAAAAGAAAAAGAAATTCGGTTTGAAAAAGCTGGAGAATTAGGGATCCAAGAAGAAGGAGAAAAAGAATCCATTTTCTTTGTGTGGTCGTTGACAGGGAGAAGAAGAAGAAAGGAAAAAGAAAAAAAAAGCTTCCGAGCAGGGGCGAAAAAGTTCGGCCCTGCTGCTTCGCCGGTGAACGGCGGAGGAAGAAGTAACAAGACCCTCACCGTCAAAAAGGGGGAAGAAATCAAGAAAGCAGTTCAGGGAGAGACGGGAAACATAATTGTTATCTGTTCGCCATTTTCGAAACTCCCCTCTCTCTCTCTCTCTCACGCACCCGCCCCAATTTGCTTTTCCTGGTTTTTTTTATGAATTTCTTCCATGGATCCTTCGCCCTAGCATTGGTTCTTCCCCTTTTTCAACTTCCCGTACGCGGAATTTCGTGGGTTCCCAGGAATTTGTCTCTCGCCCAGATTCAATCTCTTTCTCTCCCCGCCCGCCCACCCACCCACCATGTACTTGAACCAATCGGATTCATGAATCTCGCCCCTTTTGCTTCTTTGTTTAATCCTCGTGTCCCTAGATCTTGAATCTCAGAAGTTCATTTGCCTCTTTCCCCTCATTTGAAGGGTTGGATTTGGATTTGACGGTTTGGGGTAGTGTTTTTCGTTTGGGTGGAAGGAAGGAAGGAAAGAAGGGGAGGATGGAGATGTCGTTCAAGGGTGTGGTGAGGGAGATAAGGGACACCATGGGCATCAGATCGAAGGGGAGGGCTAACGGTAAAGGGATGAACCATCACCGCCGGGGGAGAGCCCACATTGCGCCGGAAGGTGGGTTGGAGGTGCCCGCTCAATTGGGTAGCTGCGGCGGCGGCGGTGACGGTTGCGGCAGCGAACAACAGGGTTTGTGGGCTACTTTACCTCCAGAACTGCTGAGGGACATAATCCAGCGGATTGAGACAAGAGGGACTACATGGCCGGCCCGGCGAGACGTGGTGGCTTGCGCCGCAGTTTGCCGGTCTTGGCGTGAGATCACTAAAGAGATCGTCAAGACCCCTGAAGATTGTTGTTGTCTTACTTTCCCCATCTCCCTAAAGCAGGTAACTTCAGGAAATTCTTTCATTCTTTAAGCATCTCAATTGGTATGTTGATCGATGTTTTCCCTTGGATTTAGCCTGGGCCTAGAGATGTTCCTATTCAATGTTTTATCAAGAGGCAAAGAGCTACTTCAACCTTTCAATTGTACCTTGGCTTGAGCCCTGGTTAGTTGTTTCTACGCTAATTCAGATTCGGAGTTAAGCTATGCATTTGTGAACACTTGGAATGATGGCTTTTGATGTTCTTCTTTTTCCTTTTTGGAAACACAGCTTTGTCTGGTGATATGAGCAAATTGTTGTTGGCTGCTAAGAAGGTTAGGAAGGCAACGAGCACTGAATTCAGAATATCCTTTGTGGGGACTGATTTCTCTCAAGCGAGCAGAACATTTGTTGGAAAGCTGAGGTATAGATGGTTTAAGTTAAATTTATCGTTACTATTTTTTGTCTGTGCTTTCATCATCATAATTGTGGGTTGAATGAACAGGTCCAATTTTTTGGGGACCAAGTTCTCAATTCATGACAACCAACCTCCCAGTCCGGAACTGCAGTCCATTTGTATGCCACGTCGGAAGATCAACTCAGTTCAGGTGCCTTCTTCATGCCCTAGAGGGTATGGAGTGGACACCGTAGTTTACGAGCTCAACGTCCTACGAACTAGGGGACCGAGGAGGATGCGGTGCACTATGCAGACGATTCCAATCTCATCTGTCCTTGAAGGCGGGACTGCTCCTACCCCAACTGAGCTGAAAAATTTCTGCACCGAGCAGCCATCTCCATCTCCTAGCACAATAGGGAAGAAGACTGCCATTGTGGACTTGAGCTCAAGCAGCAGCCTTTCGGATTCCTTGGTTGCTGCTGAGTCTGTATGCAGAGATCCTTTGGTTTTAAAGAACAAAGCTCCGAGGTGGCATGAGCAGCTGCAGTGTTGGTGTTTGAACTTCAAGGGGCGAGTAACTGTGGCCTCGGTGAAGAACTTCCAGCTGGTTGCACATGCTGAGCCTTCTGTGAATCTGTCCCCAGAGGAACAAGAGAAAGTGATTCTCCAGTTTGGCAAGATTGGTAAAGATATCTTCACCATGGATTACCGTTATCCGCTCTCTGCCTTCCAAGCTTTCGCTATCTGTCTTAGTAGCTTCGACACTAAACCTGCTTGTGAATGATATGAGATGTAATGGCGTTTTTGTTTTCCTTCATCTGTTTACTAATGCTGTTGTGCAATAACAATGCTTGTTGTAGCTTTTGATAAAATTTTGGTTGTATATACTCATTTCTTCAAAAGAAAGCGTCTTTATGTAGTTATATCATCTCACTTTTTACATAGTAGGGTTCATAACTCAATATAAACATCATTTAACATGTAGTTTCCCCTGTTGAGGAAACATTACATGGCTTTTCTGGATGAACTCTGCATCCTTATTTCCCCCCCTGCCAAATAACGGTAGTTTACTGAGGCACCACTTTAGAGAACTCCAATGTCTCTTTCTTTGCTGGTTTGACCGCAGCCATAAGCTCGACAGCCATGTTTCCTCGGTTTATCTGGATTATCTGGTTCAGAATCACTCGTTTCCATGAACAATCCTCTTAAGCACCTTCTTCTCAGTCGAGGCTCGTAGGTAAGCTTCTCAGATGGTGTAGGATTGAACTCTGCTCTATGTGTCCGAGGCTCTTCGTCAATGGCTGATCTGCTGAGTTCTGGCTGATCACTATGAGACAGAGAAAAGTGAACTCCAGGATTGCTTTCGTTAACCATGCTATCGAGCAAGATCGAATTGTTGATGCTCTGTGTGTTGCTGTTGATGTATGCCATTGGCGATGGCTGCTCATCTTCCATACCCGGGTTTTTCGAATCCTTCATCTTCTGGATTCCTTCGCCATCGGTGGTGGATTCTATGCTGTCGTCTGGATTCGTCTTGTACCCACGATGAATGTGAAGGGAGCCTTCTTTCCTCTCTGGATCAGCTCCAAAAAGCATGGTGGCTCCCCTGTTTTCTCCGGACAGAGTGACGACGCTGACAGGTTGTTGTTCGCCACCTATTGGATGCTTGATGTGTCCCATGCCAAGCTTCTGGACGAGCTTCGAGATATCCTCCTTGATCTCTTTGTGCAGCGGAACTTGCTCTCCTCTTCCATTGGCGGTTGCAGTCTTCCTGATCCTAGATTGACTAGAACTTACTCCTTTGACCTTCTCTTCACTCTGCGTGAATCCTGTCGCCGGTTTCTTTCTTTCTCGAATCTCTTGTTTCTCTTCCTGATCTTCTTGGTTGACGGGACCTCTGGAATGTGTTGCATTTGCAGCAGAGGAAAGAAACGCGGCGACTCTGTTTCTCAGGTTGTTGTCTTCTGCAGCAGGGGCAGCCTTCATCTTTTGTCCTTCCGTTCTGATTTCTTGTTGACGTTCCTCTGATGCTCTGGAGAACGGGGAGAAACGAGCTGGACCTTTAATGGCGGCTTCTGAAGTTGCTTTCTTTTGATGCTCTGTTTCCTGATCCTCTGTTTTTGGAGCTGCGATTTCCTCCATTGATTGAGGCTTCGATGCTTCACCAGCTATGGGTAATTGGGGTTTCTTCTGGGGAGAAGCAGATGTTGGAGGTGCGATTGATGGCTGAATTCCGGTAGCAGGAACCCGACGAGACGGAGATGGCGGTTGAGAAGCTGTCCGTGCTGCCGGAGCTGGCTCTGGCAGCTGCGTCCTGGTCTCAGTTCGTGATGGAGACGGAGGAACAGATGCAGCTCTCGACTGTGGAGGTACACGGGACGGTGAGGGAGGAAGCGAGGCAACCTTGGATTCTGCTGCTGCTGAACGGTAAGGCGACGTCGGGACGGAGCTACCTCGTTGCTGTGTTATGACAGGGGATGCCGGCTGGGATTCGGTGGTCACCGTACGTGGAGGCGAAGGCCGCTGTGCAGCTGGAACTTGTGCCGCTGTTGGAGGAGCAATTCCGGCTGGCCGGAATGGTGGACGTTGGGTGGAAATGGTGGCAGTAGGTTGTGGTGGGGCTCGAATCTCGACCGGCGTCGGACGTGGAACTTGTGGTTCGGGGACAGGACGGGGTGGCGTGGTGACACGAGGTGGAGTCGTGGCGGCGGACAGCCAAGGAAGGCGGAAACGGAATTGCCTCTGTTCTGCCATTGATGAAGATAATGAAGGAGAAGAAAGAACAGAGTGAGAGGAATATAGAGAGCTAGTATTGGTTATTTTTGGTTTCCAGAATTGTTGGGTATTAATAAGGCTTTCTGCGGATACCTTGGAAAATTGCAGGGATTCTTTTCCTTTGCAGGATTCTTTTGCACAGTAATCCTGATTATGCCTTCTCCATCAGGTCTAGCATCTTGTAGGTTTCCCTCAGCTCTGGTTTAGGCTCATCATATGGTAAGCCTCCTGAAATCAGAAAGTTTCCCAGGATATGCTTTGCCTCGATGCCAATCCTTAAACCTTTCATGATTCACGTGAAAAATCAAACTGTCATGGAGGAGACATAGCTAGCTTGGGAATGAAGATCGAAATCCCAGAAACAGAAGGCATTCACACTTTCCGATTTCCTTGCTCTGGTGGTACAAGAAAGGAACATAAGATTTCCGACAGAAATTGTCAAGTTTGCAAGGGAAGGTATTCTCCTTGTTCTTCTTGTTTGTCTTCTCCTTGAAATGTAACCAGTTGGGTTGCAAAGCTTTCATCTTTGAAGTTACTTCAAGCCGATTCGGTTTGTTGGGAGAAAAGGTGCAATCTTTGCAATCAAAGAGGGAAGAGGGTCCTGAAAATGCAGGGACTATTCCGAGGATTGAGATCATTGCAGGAAGCGATCCGGAGGAGTTCTACTGTGAAGCAAAACATAATGCCTCGCGTGGCCTCCTCTTCTTCCTCCGCGGAAGGGAAAGGGCTACAGAACGTGACTGTGGCAGATGTGCTGATGACGAAGGGAGAAGAAAACGTCGGTTCTTGGCTGTGGTGTCGCTCTACTGATTCTGCCCATGAAGCAGCCAAGAGTGTAACTTTTCTTTTCCTAATTTAGAATATGTTCTTCAATGGATTCCTCGTATAGCATGAGAAACTAAGGTTCCCAAAACTCTTAAAAAAAATTTGCAGATGGCACAGAGCAATATAGGGTCACTGGTGGTTCTCAAGCCTGGAGATCAACAGTACATCGCCGGGATAATCACAGAAAGAGGTAAATACTGGCCAGAACCCCAAAACCAGCACAATCAGAAGCTACATATTGTTCTAAATGTTGTTCATGATGGAATGTATGTTGACACAATCAGATTATCTAAGGAAAGTAATAGCGCAAGGGAGATCTTCAAAGTACACAAAAGTTGGGGAGATCATGACCGATGAGGTCGAAATCTTTTTCCTGCTTTCAGATTACCTTCTCTGGATGGGTTTTGTGCATCAACTAACTGTGTTATTGATAACAGAACAAGTTGATAACAGTGACATCTGACACCGACATTCTGAAGGCAATGCAGCTAATGACAGGTACTAAAGAAAACACGTTAAAGATTCCGGCTAAAGCTGCAGCCTGCAAGTTTAATTACCTCTTGTGCTGATGGTGGACTTTTCTTATCAAACAGACCACCGCATAAGGCATGCCCCAGTTATTGACGGGAAGATAGTTGGAATGATTTCTATTGTAGATGTCGTTCGAGCAGTCGTGGAGCAGCAAACTGGGGAGTTGAAGAGGCTAAATGACTACATTCAAGGAGATTACTAGTAAAATAGTGTTGTAAACATCTGAAAACTGTTGAAGCATCATATCCTGCCTTCTAATTAATCAATCAAAGATTTCTACCCACAAAAAAAAAAAAGCCCCTACATGGAAAACAAGCCAGACTCAGTGAACTTATTATTACAGAATGTCAAGACTATAGTAAAGCATCACAAAGCACTCAGTGGATAAGCAGAAAAATCTGGAGTTAGGTTCTTGCACCTTTCCTACCCAGATTATAATCCAATATTTAGGCCACATTGACAGCTGCCACTAGTCTTGATAATCTTCAGACCTAATAGCAAATGCTGCGTAGTTGGTTATGTCCGCCTAAATGTTCTATTGAACTTTAAAGCAACTTTCGTTGCTAAAGCAATTTTGAGCGATTCTGATTGAGTATGGCCCTGTGCCAACATCATCTTCTCTATCCTTTTAGCCTCCTCGCCAAATTCACCATCAAGAAGACCCCTTATAACCCGTTCAAAGTCATTCGCTCCAAGTTGCTCCTTTTTAGCTTCCAGAACCCCCAAAGCCTGAAGCGCCTTCTTTTCCATTTTAGCCCTAGCATACATATCACAAAGTATCACTTGAATCTTCAGAGGATACGCCTCCCCCAAATTGGCGATTTTCCCCAGCAGCTGCTCGACCTCATCTATCAAACCCATCTTGCCCAACCAATCAATCATAACGGTATAAGTAGCAACCCCTAGCTCAAAACCAACATCACCCTCCAGCTTCAACAAAAGGTCCAATGCCTCGTCCAGCATATTCCTCTTCTCATATGCTGCAATTATGCTGGCGGTACACCTGTCATCAGGCTTCAGCCCAGTTTTCATCATGTGGTCAAAGTTATTCCTTGCTTTCTTAACATCCCCGGCTCGAGCAAATGCCTCTATGAGCAAAGTGTAACTTTCCAAAGTATCTTTGATTCCTACAAATGTCATGGTGCTTGAAATCCTTCCAGCTCCAGCAGCATCCCCCAGTTTAGAGAATGAGGCGAGCAATGCCATGATTGTTTCCTCCGTAACAATTTCTGTGATTTCCATATCTCTCCGCAATAGCTCCTCCCCCAAGTCAGGCCGCCCGGCTTTTACATATGCCATAATCATTGAGTTGTAGACCTTCGTGTCTGGTTTAAAGCCATGGCTCGAATAAGTCTCAAATGCCTGTCTAGCTTTGTCCATATCCCCAGCCTTGCTATACATAAGTGCCAAAGTTTTGGCAGTCAAGATATCAGGGAGAATACTGTTGTCCTTCATTTTCTGGAGGATTCTCTCAGCATCTTCTACGCAATTCTCTTCAGCATGAGCAGCGATTAGGTTAGAGTAATCACGGATATTTGCTTGGAAAGAAGTCTCGCTCAAGAGATGTTCAGCTATCTGCAAAGAAACACAAAAGCATGATCAATTGACTAGAATGAACACTTTCCGAAAAGAATGAATATTTTACAATACTATTCACATTCACCCTACCAATAACCCAGGGATTAGTCCAACTCCTAAGGAAAAAAACTTAGCCTATGTCGAAGATCTGAAATGAGTGAATGCAGTATCCAACCTTAATCAGTAGCTGGTAAAGTTGCTACACTGAGTACCCTTTTGACATACGTGTCAAGTCTTAGCTCCAATCGCCTTTGAAGTAAGCAAAATAATTTTTTTAAAAGAATATCATACACCAGAAACTAGTTGTTTTCATCCACAACAGAAAAACGGTATAAAAAGTTTAGGAGCTGACAGTTACCTTAAGGTGTAAGTTACTGTTCTGTTCTTTCAGCTGGTCAAGCAACGCAATCCAATCAACCTTTCTTGGCTCCTGGAGCTCTTTATATTCTGCCAGCAGAGAGGAAGGATCATCCTCCATTTTCAAAGACAGGATTTTCTCAGCAACTAGTTTGCATTTCCCTGATATTGGCTTAGGCTCTTGGGGCCAAATGGCTTCTCCCGCTTTATGTACTTTATCCGCAACTTGACCCCATTTGGAATCCGAGAGATCTAGCCCATAAATCTTGTACTTTATCTTCCCATGCCTCTTAGGAAGATCAACAACCTTAGCCTCCTCCCCTTCCTCAGTCACCAGGGTTTCCTCACCAGTAGTAGTCTCGCCTTCTGCTTCCGCTTTCCCTTGGCCTCTTTCTTCTTGTTGTTGTTCTTCTTCTTCACGAAGCCGTTTCAAGCCCTCATAAAAGTCGGCTTCCTCCATCTTCTCTCGCGCCCATTTGAACCTCAGCTCTCGAAGCATGTTCCCTTGAAGACCTATTTCACCAGCAAACCTACACATTTCTTTCACCTCCTCGTCTTGCAAGAAGTGCTTCATTTTCTCCTTCTTCCTCTCCTTTTCCATGTCCTCCACCACGGAATTACTAACTTCCCAGACAGTCCTCCAAAGATCCTCGCTAAATTCCTCGGACGAAATGTCAGACCCAAGCATCTGGTCCAAGTTACCTTTCTCCATCTCATACACAACCTTGTCAACTATAACCAGAAGCATACCATCGACAGTAGGCTTATCACATTCGGGGTAGGCTTCGGATAGCTTCTTCCGCATGATCCAGGCAAACCGAGACAAGAACTCGTTCGTGGTTCCATCACCCCCTGAATCATCGGAATCGAGCTTTGGAGCAGAAGAACTGAACTGGGGTTTCAGGTCAGGTTGTGAAGCAGAAGCAGAAGCGGAATGGAGATAGCTACTGAAGATAGTGCAGTGGCGGTTTTGAGGGAGTTGTGAGCCATCAAAATTGCTGCTTGCCGGAGCACAGACTGAAACTGTGGAGACATCTCTGTACCCATTTCTCAGATGTGGAGAAATGAATCTTCCATAGCATATTGAGAACTTGTTCACTGACTGCCTATTGACTATTCGTTTCAAATTCATTGTTTCCCCCAAGTCGAAAGTACGGAACTTGGGGAAAGAAAGAGACAGGCTTTGTAGAGCTGATAAGAGGAAAATCGGCAACAGAGTGGGAGGGGAAAGAGGCGGAGAGCGGCGAACGTTGTACCTGAAAGGGGTCTGATGAACAACGGCGAAGCGGCGGTATCGGGGACGCCCGGCGGAAACTTTTGTCGGGGAAGTGAAGCTGAAGAAGAGGCGTGAAGAGAAAAAGGATGAGAAATAGGGCTCCTTCTTAGTTCTTAGTCCAATCGACCATGTGGGCTTTCGATTGGATCCAGGCCCATGAACCCATGTTTGTTTAGTTTTAACTTGTAAGTTGTAACCCGTATCCGTGTAGAAAAAATTTCACTAAGATGAGTGTTTATAAAATCATATCATATTACTGTTGATTATAAAAAAAATTCTATTGACATTTAAAATTTTAGATGATTTTTAGTTTCAAACACAAAATACTTTATTGTTAATTTTTTCGGTACAGTTTTACAATTTTTGATCTACCCAAATAAGAGGACTTTCCGAAGTCCTATTTTTTTTCTTGGGATGCATTTCTAAGGTCTGGAGGCATGCCAAGGGAGCAGCAATTTGGAAGAAATTTGTGGGTTATTGGATGATCTTTTTCCCTTTTAGCTTTAGCTTTGTGGGATTGGAATATGGTAGTTCATTTGGTGGCATGCTATATGCCCAAATCATCATTGCTATGTATGTTATATGGGTTCGACGTTATGAATTGGCTACCTTATTAGTAACTTTGTATATGGATTTTCTCTTTTGGAGTGATATTCTTGATTGAGAAAATATTGATTGTTCCTGTTGTGAATTGTGATTGGCTTAACCTGTTAATTATTCTCCAGCAAGAAAGGCATTGTAATGATTGGATTTTTATATCAAAATTGAAAAGTAAAGAGAAAGTTAGGATAAGGAGAGGATAACATTGATCACCCTAATTCATAATTTTTTTTTTTTACCACCATAGTCTAACATTTTATCAGTCGCGCCAACATTAACAAATCAGGCCAGCAGCAACAAGAGTTAGAGATGGAGGTTGTTGTCTGAGGCTGAGTGAGCTCCTTCCACTGGCAGATTTTTGGCAAAGGGGGAATGGAATATGTGAAATTATCACCCTCCCCATAGCCACGTTCACTGATTGGCATCCATGGAATGGAACTTTCAAACATCCCCACTCCTTATCTTTTGGAACATTCCCTCAAAAGCAAACCACAAGGTAGCTCCTCCTCCTCCTCCTCCTCCATGTAAAGATTCAATTCAGAAAACCAAACATCCATCACAAAGATTGTCTTCCCCACCAAAAAGGATTCCCCCTCCGACATGTACCTATTTTCATTATCATGACAAACAAAATTCAAGTGAAATATATATGGAAAGAGTGATGGAGTAGTTCTCATTGACTATGGTAAAAGGGTTTTTTTTTTTCTTTTTTGTACCCCGAGGGACCAAATGAAAGTAGAAGAAAGTCTTTATGACGGACTTATTACACCTTTTCCAGGGTTCACAACAAGAATGTAACCCAAGCCGTCACAATGAGCCAACCTTTCAGATTCTGTGGTCACGTATCTTTGAGCTCAAGTTGGTTCATCGTGAATATAATAAAATTCGACCCAATGATGTGAGGGGAAAATGACCCAGAAAGCAAGGAAATTGAAAATTAGATAATTGATAGGAGGAATCCACTTAGCTTCAGAAGGTGGGGCTGGAAGGTTGGAGATGATGAGTGATGACATGATAGAAAGATTCTCCATGCAGGAAGATGATCAGATACGCTGTGTTCTGCAGCAAGAGTGATTCCCCCGCCCAGCATTTGGCAACTTTAGCTGGTGAACAAAATAATCCGTGTCAATTCCCATACATGGTAATTAACAAGTCGGTATGCACTTTCAATTTTAATAGATGTGATAACTAACATTCACTCAGTCTATTTCCAAAAAAATGCCCTCCAAACTACCCTTACAGCACTCGAATTACTCCATACTTGATCCAAACAGATACCACCTGCTCAAACTCGATTCGAAATCTCATATTACCTGAAATTTATCATAATCCTTTTCTACCCTTACTAAAATGCAGTAACAACTTAACAAGTTTGTTAAAACTCTTATGACCCATTTGTTAGTGGCTGTAGACTGTAGAGTTCAGCGACCGTTTATGATTCACCAAGACAATATTGCGGATGAAAGACTGATTCCCCAGTCAGTATTACTGTATTAGATATCGTACCTGGTGAAAAGAAAAGGCAGAGCACTTCCGGAGAATCGTAGCAGTACAGTATGATTCTCCTGCCAGTGAAAGAGCTTACAAATCCGTGACAAATTCAACTGCTGTATGGAGGGAAAGACTCAAGCCACTGTTTCTTTCTTTCAAATTTCATCTTACCATGTGATGCAAGCAGATTCTACCTGCCTGGCTATTCCTTTGCAGCAAATCCCATTGGCAAATAGCTAGCAAACACCTCAAAAATTACAACCGTTGGGGTTAACAATTCCAATTTTTTGAACTTTAAAGTCGGCCCTTTCCATTGGTGCACCTGATAATAAATTAGAATAATGAGAAATCAATAGGAATATAAATGAATGGTTTTAAGGTGTCCCTCCTAAGGTTACAAATCATGTTGTGAATCCATTCTAATACAAAAGGCTGACACGTGTACCAGTGGAAGGGCGGCTTAATAACTTGCATGGGGACGCTTGTCCAATTATCCAAAACCAGACAAAGGAGGCGCACGAGGAAATGTGACAGACATCAGTCCAAAGAAAAGAACAAAAGAGAAAACACTGTAAGGAAGGAATGGAGTAAATGGAAAATCAGAGCGGGGTCGCTTTTCCTTTTTCACTATAGCAGGAAGCAAGCTGAAATCGCCACTCCTACTCAAACAACTGACACATTGGTAGTATCTTATCTTTGGCCCAAACTGCAAACAACGCACACTTATTGATTCTGCTGATTCAGCAAACAATAACTAGGGGGAAAACACAGGTAGCGCTCTGTTCCCAAGTTCCAATACCAAGTGACGTACCATGAAGTTCCAAAGGGCAAAACTTTGAACTGCTAAACTTGAAAATTAAGGGGATTATTTGAGACGAAAAGAACCAGAAAAAAGGGGGGAAAAAGGAAACTGAAAACCTCATCCTTTTCTCTTCACTGATAGCAACAAAACAGTCAGAAAGGCACATATGGCACCGCCTAATCCTCGTGGGGTGGGGGTGGTGGAAGAAATCCAGCCTTCTCTAAAGGGGTTTGGGGTTTTTAGATTGAAGAAGAGGACAAAACAGCCAAGGTGATCATCAACAATTCCATACCTGGATGCACCCCTTATCTAAATTATTTTTCAAATTTTTTATGAGGGAAAGAAACTAATGTTCGAACTCAGGACATGGTGGATGTTATAACCCCATATTATCATTTGGTTACACTCATTGGATTTCTCAGTTAAAAGTTCAGAATACTTACCACCAAAATAAGATGCTGCTTTGTTGACAGTGATTGCAGCTACGATTGACCTGGAATGGAATAACAGGAGATTACTGCAGTAAGAACTAAATCCAAGATTTGATTCACACGAAAAAGCAAGGAGTGTCAAGCAAGCATATACTACTGAATAAGGATATGTTATGGCAACTTGACCCACAAATAAAAAAAAATATATATATATATATATATATGCAAGAAAGAAAGGGAAGTCGGCAGTAGGAGTTGGGTAGTGAAGATGAAGGCATGGGGATCTCTCTCACTGTGGTCTCATGTAAGGTGGGATATGGGGATTCCTACTTCTCAATAACCACATCAATATGTAAGGGAATTGGAATCTAATCTCCCAACAGCTGGTAAAAATGAAAATTCTCTCCACCAAGATCCACTTGCTAATGATACTATACAAGACAAGAAAATGACTTTTATGAAGGGCCAGTCCTTTTGCTCTTACTATAGGTCTTGTCCTGTTTTACCCCTCTCTTTGCTTAAGCAAGCGAATATTTTTCTGCCTACTTGCATAGGCCACAGCACCTCCCTCCAAGCCTGCTTATAAGGAGCAGGCTCCCCAGTCTTGTTTCCCATACCATCCCTTGACTCGAGTCTTCTCCCCTTTGAACTACCCTCCACTCTGTGAGCTTAACTTCTCACTTTGTTCTTCCTTCCTCTCCGGAAAATCCTTTTCTCTCTGCACATTCCCCCTCTTTTCACAACCAAACTCTTGGCTTTTTGCCAGTTTTCTTTTTCCCCAAAGCCATCCCCTTCACACACCCTTAAACTAAGTTTAATGGCATCGAGTTACCTTCCTTGTCAAGGTTCTGGCTCTTCCTGGACGCTCAAGCAAAACAAGCTGTTTGAGAGGGCACTGGCTGTGTATGACAGGGACACCCCTGACCGCTGGCAAAACGTGGCGCGGGCTGTGGGTGGTAAATCCGCTGAAGAGGTAAAGAGGCACTATGATTGTTTGGTGGCGGATCTCATGTACATAGAATCGGGTCAAGCTCCTCTTCCCAATTACAGGAACCCTGTGAACAATGGTGGCAGAGGCTATCCGGACGAACAGAGGTAATGCACGTTAGCCTTGAAGATAAACTGAAACTGGTTAAAACATTTCCTGCCAAAAATTCATCAAACATAAGATTTGGTCAATTTAATCTCGAATTCTTAAGCTGTTTATAGTGCCAAACATGCAAAGCTAGTCCTGAAGTTGACAGTTCACTAGATTTCACTTCTTGCATAGTTGCATTTGTCTGCAAGACTTAAAAAAGGGTTTACAAAAGTTTGCTTTTTCAAGCTAATACATGCTGTTTGCACAATTTAGTGTTTTTTGCTAAATTGCTTTGTCATCCACTTCGCTTTCTATTTCTGGTAGCTACTATCTAAAGCAAATACTGAACCAGTCCCCCTCTAGACAATTATATTCTTCTGTTCCATCTACATATGGTACGCAAGCTTTTCAAGAGAGCCCACATGAAATCTAATCCGACTAATGCTACATCATCACATGCACATGGCTGGTCCAAAATATCAATTAATTAATCAGTTAAGCCGGTGCTTGACAGTTACCACCAGTTATCACAACACACAAGACACACAGAAACTAAAATATATAAAAGTTCATAATTCGTACATTGATCCCCATGAGCTTCATACACGATGAAAGGTCTTGGATCTAGCTATTAATGATGAGCATCTTATGCTGCTGCCAACATGCTCCTGATGTATTATAAAAACCAGCAGCAGGCTCCCCTATCTATATATTAAATCTGAAACATCATCTCTATATAATATAATGGCAATGTTTGATTACTTTATCTTTGTTTATCTGTCATTTTGCAGGCTTTTGAAGAATCTGAAGCTCCAATGAGGAACAAGTTTCAGATACTTTGCAAGGAGATATTGTAAAGATTTCAGTAAGGCAGCAGATATCTGCACAAGTAGCTAGCTAAAAAATGAAGCGAGAAAAGATTCCCCCTGGCTTCTGTTTCTTCTTCTTCTTCTTCGACCTGCCTTCCTCAACCCCTTCTGTGTTCCTAAGTTACTAATAAAGAGCCTAAAAGACACGGAACCAAGTGTAACCTGTGCCTTTCTTTGTGCTTGTATCTACTGTAATATGGTGTTTGCCTCTTCCAATTCTATCGAAACTATCAAAATGTTGGTCTTCTGATCTGTTTTCTCTGCTTCTAACTCCCAATAGAATATAGTAACAGATTGCACCTTAGCTCTCTACTTACGGTTCAACTGGTATAATATCCATACCCTAACAATTCAAAACTGAAAAAACCATCATTTTGAAGCACCCAGTTCGCTAATTGGCTAAGCAAGGGCATTAGTGAACTCCTATCCACTGACATTAGTAACTCCCATCCACTGTGACATTAACACAAACATCTAATGAGCAATATTTTAACGGTCTAGCAGTGAGCAGCTTTTCCCCGCACTATATCTGTTCGACTATGCTAACAGTCGCAGCATCGAGGGAGTCGGATCACAATCGCCAGTAGTAAATTCAAGGAAGGTACCTTCAGAAGTCCGCCGTTAGCGTCGATCGGCCTAATTAGGTGACGCCGGCGTTGGCAAATGTGTAATCGTCGTTGAAGAGAGCTGAGTATAATATGCGCACTGCGCAGACGGGAGACTTTCGATTTCGAGGTGGGTTGCTTTACAAATTACAACCAGCTAGCTAGCGCGGGCTGTGTTAGTGAAGTGATAATTAATTATTCTTCGGTCGGTGCCTTTGTTTAGACAAATTCACAATACATCCATAGTTTTTTAACTATCGAATAATCAAGTCCTTCATATTATAAATTTTATATAATCAAAGGACATTTATGTTCTATTCTTCTAAAAATTGGGAATAAAATTTGAAGGTTCTGAAGTAATAATTACACCTCCATTAATTGCAATCACTATCCCAAGAAGCAGTTTACTGATATTCTGAAATCACAAAACTAAATCCTCACAAAAAATAAAAGAGAGTTCTCCAAACATCTTCCCAAACAGCAAGTTAACTCTCTATTTGAAACATTTGGCATCTAGGAGTGCCTCTCCGTCGAAAGGTTCTGCATCTTCAATCATCTGGCTGGCACGCTCCTTCTGTGCTTCGTCGGAGATGTCGACTTTCTTCCACTCGTAGAGCTCCATATCGTAGCACTCGTCAATGATAAACTGAGGGATCTCTTGTCCGCGGAAGAGCCACAGTCCCTTCACCTTGAATGGTGGTGTAGACCCGATTATGAGCATCTTCCCGAATGCATACTTGCGAGCCAGATCCATCCTCTGGAGAAACCCGCCGACCTTGTTGAGAGTAACGAAGGAGACTGTGTTCTCGTCGTTGTACTTGTAGTCGCAGAACCACAATGAGTATCCCTCAGGATCGTACATGTCCCAGAAGCCTGCGACAACAGAATCACAAGTTAGGCATTATCGTTGAAAGCTTTCCCTTGAAACAAGGCACACTATGTGGCTTGTTTGTTTTGGCTACAAAATACATCCAATAGCGTTTAGATTTAGCAAACACACTTTCTTTCACTTCAACTCTTGGTCGGAGGACAAAGATTCTGAAACTGTATGGATAGGGTAGTTAACTACCTTTGATTGCCACCTCGCGGAAGTTGGTCTTTGTGTTGGAGTAAAGCCTCTTCCAATCATCCAAAATCATCGGACTTGGTGGCAGCAAATCGAGAGGGTTCTTTGCTTTCGGCTTTGGTGCTGCCTCTTCCTCTACTGCTGGAGCAGCTTCTGCCTTGGGAGGCTCTTTCTCCTTTTTGACTTCCTTCTTAGGCTCCACTTTGGGCTTCACCTTTTCCTTAGTCTGCGCTAGCTTTTTACCGGACTCGACAGGAGGAACTGACTCAGTTTGTTTCACTTCGCCCAATACCTTCTTGAAATTTGGTTGATTAACCAAGGTCCAGAAGTATCTCTCAACATGGGGGAACTCCGAGGTAAAGCTCTTTGTCATGATCCTAGAGAACCCCATGTAAAGATTACAGGTGAGGATGATGTCTGCCAAGGTAACAGAGTCCCCAACAAGGTAAGTTTTTGAAGCAAGGTATGTGTTCAATGCATCGAGACCCCTCTTCAATGCTGATATAGTAGCTTCCTCAGCCTTCATTTACAATAAGATGACTGGTAAGTATGTACCAGGGTAACCAAAACATAACAAATATATAAACCAACAAAATCAGTCAAGAATCACAACTGGTCTCATAATTTCATCTGATTCAGCCAGGAATAGAGAAGGTTTAGGATATAAAGGCTGAAAGTACTAAAAATAGAGAAAAACGGTATAAGACAAGTAGCTCACAGGGGGAAGGTAAGGCGCACGGCCAAAGCGAGGTCTCAGCCAACCACCAATATTGGCATCAATCTCCAGTGTTGCAAAGTCAATCCACTGCTCAATATGGGCCTATATATTGAAAAAAAGTTAAGAGTAAGCTCGGACTCATGCTTATATGCAGTGCAATATGAAATACCAAAAGACATTGTAACTAGTGATGAGCTTATCAGAGAGGCCTTTACATAATCGATGAGTGAACTGCCATAAAGTGGGTTGTCTGCCTTCAACTTGGTAACTGCAACAAAAAAATGGAGAATAAAAAACTTTCACACCATCAATTACACCAATGCATTCGACGTCAATATACATGATCAACCTTACCATATCGAGCAATAGCATTGCTCTCGAAGATAGGACCCTCAGGCGTCTCCAAGACCGGAACCTAAAATCAAGAATTCATGTTCCTTAAAAAGCCACATGCAGAAAAAATCTAGCACACTAAGAAATTCAAAGGTGATGATTTCCAGAGAAAAAGCTGGCTTTTACCTTGCCGATGGGGTTCCACCTCAGGAACTCAGGGGTCTTATTTGACACTCCCATCTCAAAATTCTCAACCAAATTAACTTTCACCCCAGAAAACTCGGCCACAATCAGTGTCTTGAAGGCATTCTTGTTTGTCTTCCCTGCATGCAAGACCTGAATAAAAAAAGATCAGATCGCAGCCTTGAGGTTATACTTGATTTTCAAGGTACTCCAATTGGAATCCACGAAAAAATAAAAAAGCCCAAAACTAGAAACCTCCCAACTCACCAATGGCGCCATTGCTTTGCCAGAAAAACAAACTGAGACGAACTGGAGTTCTGGAAATAAGAGTATAACACGATCAGAAGTACTCAACAGGAAATCAAACGATTTCGAATAGTTATGGGGAATATATTTCCAATTACAGTGAACTACAGCTCCGAATTGATCAAGTCAATTCGAATACTACCCAGAGAGCTATCAATCTAATACAGTATGGCAAGTCAGAGTCGTAACTGAATTACAGCAATGGAGAAAACCAATTTGTTCGATACAAGCAGACTACCGTATCTGTAATTGAGATCACTTAGTAATCAACAACCATTCAATCGAATTACCCGAGCTTACTGTGAACTCTGCAAGAGAGAAATACCGCAGAAGCGAAGGAGCAATGGAGGTGATCACCGGAGGTCTGGCTGGTCTCTTCTGCTTCTCTGCTCGCCGAAGGGCAGAAATAAGATGGTCGGAGTCGGAGGAGAGTGGGACCGCAGAAGTTACAATGAAACCCTAGTATTTGGTGGAACCGCTGTTTCTGAGATTTATTCTTCGTTGCTATTTATATTGAGAGTTATTTTTCTTTTTGATTAATTTTTTTTGGAGAATTGTAGAGTAATCCGATTTTTATTCTACATGCTTGTCATGGTTAAAAGCAAGTTTCTAAAAGGCTCTAGGCGTAAAACAGGCGCTTGGCTCCTGACTTGCGCCTTGCTCGATTAAGCGTAGCCTAGGCGCGCCTAGGCGTTCAGAGCAAAAATGAAAAATTTCTCAAATATTTCCTGTTTTCTGGAATAATTCATATAATCCAAGTGCGTATAAAATTAGCAATGCCTAGTTCTTAACAGTAAACACTTAACATAATAAATAACAAGCAAATAGTGACCAATCATCTGCTAATAGGTGCTTATAGAGGCAAGAAGCTTGTGCTACGTACCGAGGAGAAGGAAGGAGCAACAATTGGCGAGTTTCGACTTTATTTCCCACTATAGCAGCGGAGAGGTGTGAAGGCGAGAAGAGTGATCGATAAGTTTCTCCTGCGGCGGCAGAGAGCGGCAAATGGGGCGAGAGCTAGGGCGGCAGGCGGTAGCAGATGGGGCGAGAGCTAGGGCGGCAGGCGGCAGCTAGGGCTGCAAATGAGCCAAGCCGCTCGCGAGCAACTCGGCGTTCGAATCGGAAAAAATTCGTTCCACACTCGACTCGTTATTTAACAAGCAGGCTCGCGAGCCAAGTCGTTAGTTAACGAGCCAAGCTTGAGCTAGACCATGCTTAGCTTGATAAGCTCGCGAGCTAGCTTGATTCCGTGGCTTGTTGAGCTAAACTCGCGAGCTGCTTTGTTTAGAGCTTTGGAAGGATAAATTACTCTTTCAAACATGAACATTGTCTTGTTAATACAAATGTGTATGAGATTTAGATGTTATTTATAGTTTTTAGTGTTCTTTCTATCATTTAAATTCTTATGTTTACACATTTTTCTAGCAAGAATGATTTAAATCAAGTTCATCTCCAACCGAGCTTGTACTCAGCTTGACAAGCTATGTTAATGAGCATTTATCGAGCTCTACCGAGTCGAGCTCGAGCTAGATTATTTTTATTCAAGCCGAGCTCGAGCTCGAGCTCGAGCTAGATTACCAAAATTCGAGTTCGAGCCGAGCTCGAGCTAAAAAATTAATAAACGAGCCAAGTTCAAGCTAAGCAAAAACTCGACTCGACTCGGCTCGTTTGCAGCCCTAGCGGCAGCAGATGTTACTTCCCGTGTTTCTGATTTTCTAGGGCAAGAGGCAAGTTTCTGATTTTCTAGGACAAAACGAAGAGTATTGGGTTTAACCGCCTAAGCTCGCCCAGGAACGCCCAGGCACGCCTTCTCTCCACTAAGCGCTACCAGCGCCTTTTACAACGCCTATGGCCAAGTCAAGGCGATCCTCCACCGCCTAGCGCCTAATTGAGCCTAGGCGTGCGCCTAGGCGCGCGCCTTCTTGAACCCTGGTTAAAAGGCAAAATGGTCACTAAACTATAGTTAATAACAAAATCGTTACTAAACTTCAAAATGCAATATAATTTGTCACTTGTATTTCATTATTTTTGTTACATAATAGTTACTTTTCCATTAGATGTGTTTAATCAACCATTCCAGTAAGACGTGCCATGCATGTCACTAAACAATTTGTTGGAATTGAACTCCATCATAAATTGGTGAAACTCATTACTGTTTACATGTTAAGTAACCACACTTTCATAAATAAAAAATACACTTGTATAACCATAACTTTCACATTTGTGACAAATATAGCCATAAATATCCGAAAACACAAAATAGTCAATTCCGTACATCCCTTTAACGGTGTGATCAGACTGACGGAAAATGCCGAGTTGGCAATTTACTGTCCCACCAATCCACATGGATTAACAAAAAGAAAAAGAAAAAAAAAACAATTACTTTAAATGAAAATCATAAAAAAGAATCTCTCCCATCTCCACCTTCTTCCGCCTTTACTGCCGACCCCCAATCTCTACTACTTCACTCCTCTGCCCATCATCTCAATTATCACAATCCACCACCGCTTTCACCAATTCACTCCATGACCAAATCGACTCTTGTCATGCCCGTTGCCTCCAAATCTGAAGACGATTCACGCCGGAGAAAGCATGTATCTTCAAATCTGAAGGTGATCCGCACCAGAGAAATCATAGATATCCTCCAACTCTAAAGACGATTTGTGCCGGGAAAATCCAGATCGATCTGTTCCTCTCTTGCGACGGCTCGTAGTCTCCGCCATCGGTGCCAAGAAGTCCCCGGTGAGGAAGCAGCAGTGCGGCGTACCGCTCAGGGAGGTTGGGGTCGTCAGAGAGGATCTCGATGAAGCTCTAGTGACGAGGCTGCGAGTGCGAGGAGCCGCCACTCTGTGGCGATTGGAAAAGAAGACGCCCTCTCGGTCCTATTGGTGGGGATGAGCTTCGATTCGAAGGGGGAAGGATCTGGAAGGTGGGGAGGTATTGTGGAGATGGGTGTGGCCACGGGGAAAGCGGTTCCAGAGAGGGTCAAGGTGAGATTGGAATTTGTGAGGAAGAGGAAGGCAATTTTTGGGGTAGTGTTTATGGTGGCGACGCGGGAGATTTGGATCGGCGGCCATGGATGGAGCAGAGGGTCTTGAAGTGGGCGAGATCGTTGTTAGGGGAGAAGAAAGGGGTTTGGTAAAAAAAATCAATTAAGATTCAGATCACAGTTTTTATTTTATTTTTATTTTTAAAATAAGATATGATGTGGCATTTACGTGGTAAATGTGATTGAGTTGTCGCTAACATGTGCGGTGATTTGCATCCTAGTCAGCCTAACATTAACCTAACTGATGGAGTTTTTAACACCGTTAAAGTTTCTAACGAAAATGACTAGATTTGTCACACTACCATCTAATTTTTTGGCTAATTTGTGTTTTCCGATAATTATGACTATATTTGTCACAAACGTGAAAGTTATGGCTATACAAGTGTATTTTGCCATAAGAAAAATAAAATCGAAGGTTGAATTCTCCAGTCAACTCCCCCTTAAAAAAAACTTCATTCTATGGATCTTTTACATAACCATGAACCTAGCTTCATATTCGATTATTTTCGAAGGATGAGATTAATGTCAATAGTCGTGGCTGACATTATATATATATTCTACTTGACTACAAGTAATCAATTAACGGTCATAAACCAGTTGATACAAACAACTTTAGTTGTTGGGAGAAGGTTATGCTGGATCTTATACCACTCTCTACACGTCCCCTCAAACGAAAACCAACTCACGGGCTTGAAGTTTGCACAGGCCCACCATACCTTATGCTTTAATCAACTGTTAATATTGGAGGTCGTGTAGATTCAAACACACGACCACTTGGTCAAACCAGCTCCGATATCATGTCACAAACCATTTTATACCACTCTCTAACATTAACTAGTGACCAGACCGAAACTTAATTTTGTTATTGTTACATAAATTATTGGAGGACTCCAGCCATCTTCGTTACAACACAAAGATTAGTAAACTGATGAAGAACATACCCACATCCAGGTATATATGGATCCAATTAATGGCTTCAGGTGTTAAGTCTTAATACACAAATAGAAACCAATACATATCCAAATTCGAAATCACACGAACGAATTCACAATTGACCTTTCCCTATACGGTCATCGTCAGGTTGCCATTTGTTCTCGACTTGTTACTCCTTAGCCATCCATCGGCAGATTCCTAGGAAGTCGCTGCTGTTGTTCTTGACTGGCTGCTTTCATGTCCATTGAGTACCAGATATCTATATGGGCATGCAAATTATTTAGGGGAAACAAGGGGAGAATTGGATTATCAAGATGACAATTGTTACTGTTTATTCATAAAAAAAATTAGCTTGTACCCAATCGATTAATTACAAGGGATTAATGGATTTATAAGGCCAGCTCAACATTAATGATTAAAAAAACCAGTTGGGCCTAGTTGGGTGAGATTTTTGGGCCTAAGTGGCCAACCCCCTTCTCCTCTATACGATGGCCGACCCGTCTCCAAGGCCCCCATAGCCGGACGATGCCTCCACCCCTTAGTATGAAATTTGGCCTACAAAAACTAAGTCTTGGAAACAAGGCGACACAACGGGGTGCCAAACGACCGGGTACCAAGTCTGGTACCAAATAAGGGGGCCAAACAAGAGGGTATCAAGCCGACAAGGCAGGCCTGATACCCAAGTAAGAAATTTGGCTAAGTATGGAAAACAAGGCGACACAACGGGGTGCCAAACGGCCGGGTACCAAGCCGGGTACCAAATAGGAGGCCATCCAAAAGCTAAGTCTTGGAAACAAGGCGACAGAACGGGGTGCCAAACAGCCGGGTACCAAATAGGAGGTCATCCAAAAACTAAGTCTTGGAAACAAGGTGACACAACAGGGTGCCAAATGACCAGATGTCAACGACGGGGTATCAAGCCGGCAAAGCAGGGCTTGGTACTTTGACATATAATTTGGCTAAGTATGAAGCAAAAGGGGGTATCAAGTCGACAAGGTAGGCTTGATACCAAAAGATATAAAAATTGGCTAAGTATGGGAGCTAAGGGGGTACCAGGCGGGCAAGGCGACCTCGGTACCAAGACCCCTACAAGGTACCAAGCCGACATGACCCCTACAAGGTACCAAGCCAGCATGACAGGCTTGGCAGCCAAGCAAGGCGACAGGGTACCATGACCCCAGGGGTATCAAGCCGGCAAGACTGACTTGGTGGCCAGGCAACAGGGGGACCAAGCCAGGTACCAACTAAGAGAGTCATACAGAAACTAAGTCTGGATATCAAGCCAACAAGACAGACTTGATAGCCAGACATCAGGGTATCAAGCCAACAAGACAAGAAATTCGACTAAGGCATGGTGACTAGCTGAGGTGGCCACCCAACTATGGATGGATCGGCCAGGATGCCGAGCTCAGCCCTTAGGAGGCCATATGGAGACAAAGTCCAAAGACGGGCTTGGTAGAACCTTCACGCGGTACCAAAGACGTGAGGATCATTCATAATCCGAGATTCACTTTGAGGTTCCGAGCCAGAAAAGTAAGAGAATTCCAATCGCAGATAGTGGTCGAGAAGCGACGGACGACGTTGCTGATGACGGAAGTGTTGGTGATCGGTAAAATGACCGGGATCGGCGTGCGGCAGCGAGCGAATCGACAATTTCTCCTGCAACCTGGTGATAGAAGCTGTAAGAGCGTCGATATTCTCCTTCCTCGAGGCTGCCAAAACAACAATGGTGTCCTTCAAATCTTGATGCTGAGTATCCAACTTCACTTGGACCGCAACCATCTGATTCTCCAAATCCACGATTCGAGACGTATTCGTCGCCATTGCCATATTATAGGCTGCTGATACCACTTGTAAGGATCGATAATGGAGGAAATCTGGCGAATTGTATTTAGATATATCCGGGGGGGGGGGGGGTGGGCGTGTTTATTCAGCTATCTACTAACATAATTGGTAAAGTAGCTAAGAATGAGTTTATTGGATAACAACATATAACCAATCACAGAAAGAATCTTCCTATTTATACATTGGCTCCTGTTTTACACGTCACCTAGGCCAGCTGTCAAGGTTGTTATATTGCTGTTTGAGATGGCAACGAGGAAGGCAAGAAGGGGAGGATTGATCCGGCAACAAGGACAGATGGAAAGAAAAAAGCGCTTCGGCGACTTGATCTAGCCGGCGAGCTTCTGATCGGTGTTGAAGAGAGAATTGACGGCGGCGGTCGCAACAAGGGAAAGCGGGACTCCGACGAGGGCGGTGGAGCCTCACACGCATAGATCCGGGCAAGATCTGGATGACTGCGGACGGAACGTGGAAGCTTAGAGGTTGGTGGCTAATGTAGGGAGTTGGTTCAGGCTGAACAAGCCGACTCAGGTTTTTTTTTTTTTTTTTGCATCTGTTTGATTTTATATATAAACTCAGTTTGGCCCTGCTGTAGCTTTTGTAAAAGCAGCTTCTGGCTTGAGCTTTTAGAGAAGCACTTTTCAAAATAAGCAGTTTATTGTTTGGCAATTATAAGGTAAAAGTGCTTTTTTACCGCAGAAGCTGTTTGGTTCAATCGTATTAAAAGTACTTTTGGCTTTGTTATCATAATCAATTACTAAAATAGACATCAATGCAATAGCTAACATCTGTCAAATGTTTGATTGTTTTAGGCCAACGTGCTTCAAATTCTGGCGCCAAATGAGTACTCGGTGGAGGGAAATAGAACGGGAGGCAGCCATTAAAATAATTAAGGTAGAGAAAAGAGAAAAAGTGATATCAAGAAGAAGATGATGAAAATTTGCAGTCATGAACATCATCTAACATAAGCCACTACAAGAATAATTATTAGGTAATAAAAACAGATTCCAATAAAAAAACATAAAAAATGAATCATCTATGATTCCTGAGTGATGCAGCAATTGAATCACGAACAGAGTTCATGAATATATCATCTGGAATAGTGCTTTCATTTCTTCTTTCTCCTTGACTTCCATAATCTCCAACTTCAACTAGATAGTTTGGATCTTCATCACACCATTGAAACTCCTCGTCGCAAATAGCATTCATTCTAATATAATAGTGGAGAGCCATGGTAGCAGCAATAATATTATTTTGTTTTTCGATATCAAAATTTGGTGGATTTTTCAAAATTTGCCATCTTTTTTTCCAAACACCAAATGTGCGTTCAGTCACATTTCTAAGAGAAGAATGTGCATGATTGAAAATCTCTTGCAAACCTGTTGGTTCACCCCCTTGTTGGAATTCAACGACGTGATATCTTAGCATTGATCCCTTGTATGGTGCCAAATACCCTGTCATATTCGGATATCCAGCATCCACAAGATAATATTTACATGCATAAATACAAGATCATATAAGTAAAACCCATTTGAAAACAATATGATGATAGAAGGATTAAATTTAATGCTCGGTAAGTTACCTTCAGGAGGATGAGGAAATATTTTTCCAAACTTTGCTTTTGCATCCATAAGTATTCGAGTGTCATGAGCAGATCCAGGCCAACCCGTTACAAAAAATGTGAACAACATATCAAAATCACAGATTGCTAGCACATTTTGTGTTGGAATTCCCTTTCTTCCAATATATAGGGGTCTTTCCTCCTCAGGTGTAACACCCTACCCTATACGTTTTGCCTAATCATATTGTTCATAAAATTGCAGCGGAATTTATCTCGGGCGTTACATTAATTATCAAATTTTACCTAAATAAAATTTCGACATGAATTACTCGCGTAATGGGCTAACAGTTCTTCCATATGATCCTGCAAAATAATTCATCTGAATCCATGCATTCATAGACAAACACATATACTCACAACCATAAGCATTGGCTTTCATAGCCATAGTCACAGTTTCATACTACACAACTGCATACCCTACTGATACAAGCCATAATCGTCATAACTTACACAACCACAAAAATATACACATATCATTAACTTTCCACACCTGTGGATATCTAACACTACATTAGAAGCTAGTATGCACATGAAAAACGTTCTCAAAACATTTTTACAAAAAGGTGTGGATCACTGGCCAAAATCCCGAGTAGTAGTCCAAGCACAGAATGGTTGAAGACCATACCTCATCTTGCCTTCAACTCTTTCTCAGCTCCCACCTATACACCTATCTACTGCTGCTGATGATCTGCTTACACATGGCATAAGCAGAGAAGAAGAATAAAAGAGGGTCAGCTCATAGCTGAGTGAGATAATCATAGCATCGTGAGTTCATAACATAGCATACCACTACCATACATCTAGCAAACAAGCCAAAGCACTAGGATCAGATCTCAGCCCTCCGACATCCCAATAGGCAAAAGACTCAACCACCTTGACTTATGCATATGCATCTTATCATGTTTTACTTATAGGCGCCTGGCTACTCACATGCTAATAACTCTCCCGGGAAACATACCCCACATCCCGTCGGATGTAGTCACATACCGTCGGATGTAGTCACATACCCCAACATCCCGTTAGATGTGGTCATACATACCTCACACCACTATGGGTGTAGTCATACCCCGACACCACTCTGGGTGTGGTCGTAAGAATCCTTCAGTCATCACCACATGAGAGGTGTGACTATCATACATATCATAATAGAGTAATAGCATAGGGAGCCCTAATTACTATGTAGTTGACCGTGAGACCACAACACTTATATTTGGTATCCTTATACATGATTCATATCTCATCTTTCTTAATCATAATTCATTACTTGGACATGTTCTTAACCTGGCCACAATTGGCTCAACAAAACCAGGAGTCGTATAATTTCACTTCCTCGGGATAAACCCTCGTGCAAGTCATCCTCCTTAAAACATCATAATATCACCAGGGAATATATATTTTCCACTTGTGCATCCAAATACAACAATCATGAAAAATCATACCTAATCACCTTCTCGAACCATCGTAAAGCATATTAACAGTCAAGCCCACAATTTGCAACATATACACAATCATCAGCATAAACAAGGTTCATATCGATTAGGGCAAGTCAATAATATCATACAGCAGTCCAGGGTTCAACATATAGCACAAAAGTCCATACACCCCTAATCATGCCATTCTAGTTCACCTAGGTCAATTCTAAGCATCAATATAATTATCGTGATACGACAAACCCGGTATGCCGTGCTAATCCCTCACCAGTTCTGGTCGTTCAAACACCGATTCTAGCCTCCCGTACTAAAACGTCAATTTCACGAACGAACCCCGAATTAAAATCCGAGACCGTCCTAATATCCCCTGCCGTATCCCCGTCAATATTAGTTCTAGGCTCCGGGTCAAATTCTCCATAAAAATACATCAAACCCTGGCCGGAGCTAAATTCAGCGGTTTGGACCCCGGCCTAAATAATAGCCGAAATTCAGGGATTAGAACTAGAGGATTGATTACCTCGCTGCAGGAAGCTCGTATATGAAATTTGGGCTCAATCCGGCTTCCGGATACTCCGAAACCCTAATTTGGCTTATCGGGAATTCAAGAAATTCCTGAACCAAAAACTCGTTTTAAAACTCTAAATAGATAAATCACGATGCATAGATGAATAGACATTACTTACGAGATTTTTGGATTAGTAGAACTCAAGATTTGAGCTCTGAAATTTTACCCTCGTTGCTCCCCTGAAGCTCTGCTTCTCTCGGTCCGTAAAAGAAGAAGAAGAATTGGGATGGGAATGGGAAATGGACGTGTAATCAGTAATATATATGCCGACCGTATATATATATATATATATATATATATATATATATATATATATAATTAATTAATATGTATACTTATCCGATCGATCGATAATCCGATTTTCGCTGAAATACTATCAAAACGCTCGATTTTAAATCGCGAACTTTCTAGCGATCGAAATATGGGTTTTGCCGTAACGGGATGTTACAATTCTCCCCTCCTTAAAAGATTTCGTCCCCGAAATCTAACCTTGAGTCAAACTCTAACTCCTCTTACTTACCCTTAACATGGTTTATCATATATAAAGTCATTACCTAACTCTTAGGTTAGACGATTCATAACATAGAAAGTAACACATAACATCTCAAGTTCCCATGTTTAGGTTTCAAAAACCTATACTGGGCTATCACAACAAAAGCACATCAACAAGCTGAAAACATAACTTATTAGGCAAGATTGTTAACCTTTAAAATAGGTCGCTACCAACTCAGGGTACTTCTCTCGCATACTTGCTTCAGTCTCCCAGGTAGCACTCTCACTTTCTTGATTCCTCCACACAACCTTCAACATTGGAATTTCCTTCCTACGAAGATTCTTAATCTGAAAATCAACAATCTCAACTGGAAACTCTTCAAATGTCAAATCAGGACCCAACTCGATATCTTCTGGTTGTATAACATGGGAAGGATCCACTTTGTACCTATTCAGCATACTAACATGAAATACATTGTGGATTTGTGATAGTTCTGGAGGCAATGCCAGTTTATATGCCACTGGTCCAATCTTCTCTATGATTTCATAAGGTCCAATATACCGAGGTGCAAGTTTCCCTTTCTTACCAAATCTCATTACGCCTTTCCATGGTGACACTTTGAGAAATACTTTCTCACCCACTTCGAAATTAACTTCACGCATACTCGAGTCAACATAAACTTTCTGTCGATCTTGAGCCACCCTCAAATGCTCCCTGATTTTCTTGACCTTGTCAACTGTGATCTGAACTATCTCTGGCCCTGAGATTTGCCTTGCTCCTTCTACATCCCAACATAATGGTGTTCTACATTTTCTCCCATAAAGTGCTTCATATGGTGGAACACCCAAACTACTATGGTACTGATTGTTGTAAGCAAACTCAATCAGGGGCAAATGGTCAATCCATGATTCCTCCCATTACACATGATCGAAGTAACTCTTCTAAGGTAAGGATGGTTCGTTCACTCTGGCCATCTGTTTGAGGATGATAAGCTGAAGTAAAATGCATTTTAGTTCCCAAGGATTCATGTCAACTTTGCCAAAACCGAGATGTGAAGCTCGGGTCTCGATCAGAGACAATAGAAATTGGCACACCATGCAATCTGACGATCTCCTTAATATATAGTTGAGACAAGGTCTCCAGTGATGGTTTCCATCTAATGGGTAAAAAGTGAGCCGATTTGGTCAGTCGGTCCACAATAACCCATACTGCATCTTTTCCCCTTGATGATGGGAGACCATATACAAAATCCATTGTGATTCTTTCCCACTTCCATTCTGGAATTGGAAGTGGTTGCAGTTTCCCTACAGGAGCTTGACTTTCTGACATACTAGACATGTGAAAATATGTTCAGCCGCTTCCTTTTTCATCCCACGCCACCAAAAATATGGTTTGATCGTGTGATACATTTTAGTTGCTCCTGGGTGCATAGCATAAGCAGAAGAATGAGCTTCATCTAGGATCTCCTTCCTCAAGTTATCAACATTAGGAACACATGCTCTTCCATTCATCTTCAACATGCCATCTACCATTTCAAATGGGCTTTCTTTTCCTTCCTCAATGCCTTGAATAATTTTTGCCAACTCTGAGTCCTCCTTCTGCTTCTCACGAATTTTGTTGTATAACAAAGGTCGAATGTTCAACCGAGCTAGTAACCCTGTTACACCATCCACTTCCAAATCAACATTCATTGCCCTCAAACCAACCAGATCCGTTATATTCTTCTTGCCTTTTCTGCTCAGAGCATCAGCAACTACATTAGCTTTACCTGGATGGTAATCAATGGTACAATCATAATCTTTCAACAACTCTATCCATCTCCTCTGTCGACTATTTAAATCCTTTTGATCCACAATATACTTCAGGCTTTTATGATCAGTGAGGATTTTAAAAGTCTCACCATACAAATAATGTCGCCAAATCTTGAGAGCAAATACCACCGCTGCCAACTCCAAATCATGAGTGGGATAATTTACTTCATGAGGACGCAATTGCCTAGAGGCATATGCGATAACTCTTCCATCTTGCATTAGTACACAACCCAGTCCTTGATATGAGGCATCACTATACACCACAAACTCTCCATGGTTTGAAGGTAAAGCCAGTACTGGTGCTGTGGTCAATTTCTTCTTCAGTTCATCAAAACTCTTTTGACATGATTCATCCCAAACATACTTGGTATTCTTCCTCAACAGTTTAGTCAATGGTGCAGCAATTTTAGAAAATCCTTCTACGAACCGCCGATAGTAACCCGCCATGCCAAGAAAACTTCTCAACTCGGACACATCTTTTGGTGGAGCCCAACTCACCACTGCTTCCACCTTTTTCGGATCCACCTCGACACCTCTTCCAGAAATTACATGTCCCAGAAATATGACCTCCTTAAGCCAAAACTCACATTTTGAGAATTTTGCATATAATTGTTTTTCTCTTAGAATTTGCAACACAATTCTAAGGTGAGTTTTGTGCTCCTCCTCGCTTTTAGAATAGATGAGAATATCATCTATGAACACAATCACAAACTTATCAAGATATTCATGGAAAACTCTATTCATAAGAGCCATAAATACCGCTGGTGCATTAGTGAGTCCAAAAGGCATTACCAGGAACTCATAATGCCCATATCTTGTTCTAAAAGCTGTCTTTGAAGTTGCTCCATCTGCCACTTTCAATTGATGGTATCCAGACCTCAAATCAATCTTAGAAAAGACCAATGCACCCTGCAATTGATCAAACAAGTCATCTATTCTTGGGAGGGGATAACGGTTTTTCACTGTTGCTTTATTCAACCTCCGGTAGTCAATGCACATTCTCATGGAGCCATCTTTCTTCTTGACAAACAAAACCGGTGCACCCCAAGGTGAGATGCTAGGTCGAATAAACCCCTTGTCTAACAATTCTTGCAATTGTTCTTTAAGCTCCTTCAGCTCAATTGGTGCCATTCTATATGGTGCCATTGAAATTGGTGTTGTGCCAGGTACCAATTCAATATCAAACTCTACTTCCCTTTCTGGTGGAAGGCCGGGAAGTTCTTCGGGGAATACATTAGGAAACTCCCTTACCACCTCTACATCCTCAACCTTCTTATCATTTACTACAGTAACTTGAGCAAGAAAGGCTTCACAACCTTCCTTCACTAATCGAAAAGCTTCCAAGGCAGAAAGAAAACCATGAGTCTCCTTTTTCTTGATGCCTCGGAATACAACAGGACCTTTATCTGGTGTGTTGAATAACACTTCGTTCTTTTGACAATCCACAACAGCTCCATGTGTTGCCAGAAAGTCCATTCCAAGGATGACATCAAATTCATCAAAAGGTAGCAGAATTAAATCTG